AACGATTATCTACAAGATAAAAGTGTTTATTAACAGTTGTCTACGCAAAATACTTCTGATCCGTTGGCCAGACACCATCAGCAACAACGTACTGTGGGAGAGAACGAACCAGATTCCAGTGGAGGAGGAAATCAGGAAGAAGCGGTGGAAGTGGATAGCACACATTGCGGAAAGCACCCAACTGCGTCACGAGACAAGCTCTCACTTGGAACCCTTAAGGCCAACATAAAAGAGGAATGACAAGGAGCACATTACGCCGAGAAAAGGAGACAGACATGAGAAGAATGAACGAAAATTGGACAGAACTGGAGAGGGAAGCCCAGGACAGAGTAGGTTGGAGAGTGCTGGTCAACGGCCCATGCTTCGTTCGGGGTCATAGGCGCTAGTAAGTAACTATGTAAATAAGCCCTGAGGAAACGAATTCACAAGCATTCATTTCAAGAGTAATTTATACAGTACAAAAAGTGTCCTTGTAAGTGTTACAACGAAAGAGAAAACTAACCAATTATGTTTAAGGTCCTTCGAAGTGGGAAACACATACTGAAAGTAATAAGGGGCGATTTCAGCGCAAAGATAAGAAATTAAAATTTCCAAAAGTAAACTACAAAATTAAGGTTTATTAAGAGATTTCTGGGAATCTAGCGTACCCAAACACCTACTCACTTCTTTCTAGTGGCACGGGCGTGGTTTGCGAAATTGAAGGAATTAAAAGCGAGTGTATAACAAGGTTTAAGCCGGGTCGGTGAATATGAAGGAGAGTTTTAAAACATCGATTCCATATCAGTGACCCACATGGGCTCCAGAATCGGGAGGAAACAAATGGTGTTGTTACGTACTGTTGGGTATCGGCTACCATGAGACTGCATCACCCTACTTTTCTTCATCGCCTTGAGGATTGGCGATCTGTGTCTAAGACTCTCTGAGTGGCCTGCTAAGGTTTTGGCATCCAGGCAGTATCCTAGCTCACTGAGAATTTCGTTGATTTGCGTGGCACAGAATTATTTGTGTTCTCCCTTGTACCAATGTCTACATGTCTAAATATAAACCTTTTTTGCTATACTACTAACTAATAAAAAGTAGTTCAAAATATTATTTCGCTATTTATGCGAATAGTTCGTTAGTCTGCTACCATCGTTCATATATAGCGCTGTTTTGTTGCTCTATTGTCATTCGTTAACTTAAGCACTACTATCACATATTATGCCATATAGTTTTACTTACTGTTTATTTTTAAAATATTCGTTAATATTAATATCCATACTGGGAATATGGATGCTAAACGCCACTAAGCTAATTCAGTAAAATGATGGTATAGAAATGAGCTAATGAGGATGAAGAATTCAGTTTTTCAGTGAAATTCAAGTATAATATATGACGAACTTTAATAATATCTTTGTTCACGATGGAGTTTCGATCTATGAAGTACAAATTTTCTCAGCCACCTTTGTTTACCTCGGAAAACGCTTCAAATGATAACAAAGAATTGCTCTTTCCTAACACAGTAAGATTATGATATTAAACCTATAAACTCTCAATTTCGTCGCACTATATTGTATATGACAGGAAAAACGATATCATCTTTGATTCTAAACCTAAATAATATATTTCAAAGTAAACCGTAATCTGGCTGCATTAGATTTTATGGAAAAACTAATCGGATAATAATTCTCGCATTTCTATACGAAGTTCATCCATAGCTACAGAGCATGTATGCAGTAGAGTTGATGTCAGTTCTTGATGAAAACCACAACACTAAACCCCGTATTCCCATCCTGAATACATAGCCCTAAGAATTTTGAAATCGATTCAAATCTTTTTTAAGGTTTCGAGAATAATCTATGTATAAATGAACGAATTTTTGTGTATGTTTCTTCAATGAATGAATAAAGTAAACTATAAAAAACTTTAGTAGATTAATTCATTGCGTAAGAACTGTTTACACTTTTTTGAATGCAATACAGAAGCAAATCAACTATACTTGAGTTTGTTTATACTCAGCGGGGTTAACTAACTTACTTAACGGAGAGCATCATTTGAACAGCAACAATTTATCCATGCATTTGTACTGTTATTATTGTCACGTTTGTGTGTAATCTTGGGCACTGGTTACAGCCGATGCAGATGTTCATCCTACCAGGTTTCATGTTAGCCGCTTAAATAACTAGGTGGCTCATTTATTTTCGTATAAATATATATATATATATATATATATATATATATATATATATATATATATATATATATATATATATATATATATATATATATATATATCAACGTCTTCTGAATTCTGTACACCGTCGGGCGTTATCTAGTAATGGTAATCAGGGTGAGCAGTAGATGAAGTTTAGAAATTATGTCGGGTACGGTTCGCCATTTACAAAGGGTGTTTTCTGATTGGCTAAGAGCTAGTTAAAAATTGGTAGCTGTTGTTTTAAGCTAGTCTCAATAATATAGTAGACGAACTGCTCATTTCTATTGTTGTCTCTTATAATTTTACAATCTTTTGTGATAGTACAAAAAATTATACCAACTTGGAATAGTACATTAACACTGAATGATTCCGTTAGTTAGTAGTATGTAAAACAGATTTTTCCGGGGCTCAACTATTATTTAACTACAGAGAGTCTATGTACTTTGTAGTAGCCTCATATCATAACAAGTTTGCATTTATACGTATAGTTCAACCGTGATACATTTATATAACAAGTAGATAAAAGCTTTATGCAATAATTGGTAATAAAACAAACAAAAATGTGTTGATTTAACTGGGCTCTATTCACATGTGAAATTTCTTTATACGTATGACCGATGGTGTATCTTATATCATTACATATTTAGACTAAATAGAATGGCTATTAAAACAATGATTAACTGCTAAATCGATTGACAACTATCATAGATAATTGTCATGTCAATCTATAAAATACTGTAACTACTCAGTATATCAATCCACACATTATGGTGACAAATACACACTATACTATATCTGATCTATTGGTTACGGTGTGTGTCTAGAATATATCCATCCCTCAAAATATTCCGCATCAAAATTAAAACCATGTTAGCAAGTGAATTCGAAATTAATTGTGGATCTAGAATAATTGGAATTAAACATATGTTCTCGCGTATCCAATATCTTTCATTCTGTGAATTCATATTCCGACCGTAACTGCTAGCTTGATGTGGGGTGAGGATGACCTAACCAAGCTATACTGGCTGAAACGTTCTACTATGCCAGGCAGGTCGGTTGGGCAACGGTAAGACTAAATGCAGTAACTTAAGGTCTGAGAGCGAAGTCCAACTGCTGACTGTAGAGGAGTATGGCAGCGGCAAGATGTTTCTCCTGCACAACCAGTATCTGCAGAGATGCTGCCCTCTCACAGCAGAAGGAAGGGTCAACGCCAAAACTGTCACACCTCACCTCTCCCCACTGATTTCCGTCTTCGGCGGTAAGGCATTTTGAAAAGTCAAGGTAATACCTCTACCATCCATGGCCTCGCTAGTGCAGGTATAGCATCAAGTTCAAAAGCAAACTAGCTCTCTTAGACTGGATTTCAATAGATGGTCACTTATGAGCTACCGAATAAACGAGACAGTAAGGACTCAGAAAGATAGACACACCTGCCGATGCCTCCGCTCCTACAGATTGCAGCTAATAAGAAGTAAAAGATGAATTTTATGGGTATCTTTTCAACCTCCAAAAAGATAAGCATTCTGATGTAGTGGTAGTATCACGTGATTTTAATGCTCAAGTAGGTAGATTAGGTGAAGCCGAAAGAAACCTTGGTGAATCTTAAGAAAGATACAAAAAAGGGAATTCCTAAGAGTTCTACTAAATGATAACAAAACAAAGAGTTTATTTCGAGAGCAACTAGAAAAAGTTAGACAACTATGTAAGTGATATCCACCCTGAGGCAGTTTGAAATGATATCCAAATGCTGTGGAAACGGCAGTAACAGTTGCCAGTAAATTAAACCAAAAGATTAAGGAGGAGCAGTGGATTTTATTGGGATCTACTGAACTGACAGATTCTCGGAAACTCATCCTGTCTGGCTCTGAATACGACCGGGAGCAGAGGCAGCTTAAACACAGGCTGACAAGAAGCCTACAAAATGATCGCAAATAGTAGTGAGTGGCGAAAGAGAAAAATTGGGAGAGGCAGTGACGATAGGTAACAACAGACAACTGTTGCGACATATCAAGGAAACCGGAATTGTAAATTCGACTGTCAGTGAGACTATCTCAGAAAAGGATAGGACTATTATTCCTTCTCGATTCAGAAGAGTGGAACGATAGATGGAACACTTTGGTGACTAGTTCAACTAGCCTTCAGCGACACTTCGTTTATCCACGACTTCCAGTAAACCTGAATGGTAAGTTGATGTAAGTCTTACGACAGTTAATGAGGTTGAGAAGGCAATAGGAAATCTGAAGCGAGGTAGAGCAGCAGAGCCTGACAGGTTTACCCCTAAAATTTTCAAGGTTGGTGGTCCAGTTTTAGCGGTTAGATCGACTGAGATCTTAGGTAGAATTTGGGAACAATGTGTAATCCCATCCATCTAGTCTCAGTCACTGACTGTCCCAATCTACAAAAAAGACCTAAAGTCCTCTTGTGACAATTACAGAGGAGTCAGTCTAACTAAAATAGTGTCTAAATTGTTAGCCTCGATCATACTTCGACACCTAACTAAGGCTCGTGAAGAACAGACTTGAGAAAATCAGGCTGGTTTCAGACCTGGACGTGGATGTATAGACCAAATATTCACTCTTCATCAGGTCCTGGAACATAAACAAACATTCAGACGTCCCACAATGGTTGCATTCTTCAACCTGAAGGCAACACTAGACTCTGTTGATTGTGAGGTTCTGTAGCAGCAGAAGAATATTAACTTTGTATAGGCTCTCTACTCGAACACTAGTGATCGATGGTAAAGTGTACAACGAAGAGGAAAAAGGTATAAACTATAAAAGTTAAACAAGTAATAATAATAATATTATCACGATCTTTTATTTATTAAATGACCATTAATTGAAGAATGCAGAAGAATCTATTCATCAATAGAATAGTTATATAGAAGCAATAGGAATAATATACAAATTATATATTGTTCACGGAAAGAAAATGCAACAAATAAAAATAACAAAAAGTAATAAACCACTCAAAGAATAAAGAGAATGAGTATTTTGATGAAATGTTTAGCTAATAACCAATAAACTAATGACATTATCATATCAATTATATAGGTAATAAAAGATCAAACAAGAAATTGAGTATTTTGTAATGATGTTATCCATCCACGAAAAAGAAAAACACAAAAAACTGAAATTCTCATATAAACAACAAGAGAAGTGAAACAACAAACACGAGATCTTATATTTATATAGTGATGAAAGGTAATTAATATAAGTAGAAAATAAAAACTAATCAAAAAAAGGATGAATACAGTACGAATTATTGAATTCACGTTTTGAATAAGAAAGTGGAGGCTTACAAAAAGTGAGAAGAACTATATATATATCGTATATGGCGCATAAAAAAAAATCTAAAAAGGATGAAAAAATACTGGGATAAATTTTTAAAGGTAAACATGCCTAGAACTGATGATGGATGGAAATGTGACCTCGAAAAATAATAGATCTGTTCAGTGGTTATTGATTTCTATCATTTTTATAGTGAGTGATATGATTGAATCTCATACGACTTGACAAATGAAAACGGATTATTTTAACTACTTATAAGTAGGCAAAAGTAATGAGCATAAACTTCTGGAAAGAAATGACACGTGATGTACAGATATTTAAGAAACAAACATTACATGAACTGTCTTTCAGAAAGTGAAGGATATAAATAATAACAACAACAACAATGACAATCAATTACAAGCAAGAAGGGTCGTATACGTCATGATAAAAATTCTCTACACAGACAGAGGAAAGTTGACCAAGTGCCAATTAGTTTAACTAGGTGTATCGAGTTGAAGAATATGAGAATGATAATGTTAAAAAGACTCAGTAGAGAAATATAATGATATCAAATCATCATAAATAATAACCTTTATCATAACACAAATGAGAAAATTGTTTTTAAAAAAATTAACCAAAAATTGAAAAAAAATAATAATAACGAAGAGATATGGCTTTTTAAGAGGAGGAGGTATCAAATAGAGTAAAGCAGTAAACAACAAATAAGGATAAACATATAAATGAAATTATCATCACCAACATTGTCATCAATGAGGTAAATGCGTAAAACCATAATCAGAAACTACTAGATTATATGATGAAGCCAACAATGAATGACGTCTAGGTAGAACCGGTCTAGGTATGATATACTTATCAATGGAATAAGAAGGAGGTGTGAACAAATTTCGACAAGTTAATGTAGATGATTTTTGATTTTTTTTCAAACGTTTTCTTGATTCATGTTGCATACGTAGTTTAGTTGGGAATAAATTGATTGGATTAGTAGTACAATTCATGAATAATTGTTGTTCTTGTTCGTGTTTTTGTCCTTCAGTTAAATTAATCTTGATAACATGATGATTGGCATTCTGTTCATAGTGTCCGCCTACAGTTTGTCCAATAGTTTGTTGTTGTTGTTCAATCGTTGAACATATATTATCATTATTACTGACTTTCGAATTCAAAGTTGCCGGGTCTAGTTGAGTTGTTGTTGTTTTTAAGCAATGTGATGTGTTATTATTATTGCCGACTGATATTAAAGTTTTTGAATTATATGGACGCTATATAATGAATGAATAAATAAATCATATATAAATATATTAAAGATAATGATTCGCACATGATTTTTATGTAAAGACAATTTATGGATGAATATATTTCAGGTGGGATACAAAACAAGTAAAGAAATGAACAGCCGCTGTATTGATACTTCACAAAGTCAAAGAATTTTCTTAACACTAAAATTGTAATTTCATCATTAGATGAAAACCGTAGTATGCACTATGTCGAGCCCATAGGCTTGTCCCAGCCTTTGAAAAATTAATTAACCCACTTTTTTCGAGTTATTCACATGTCTAACGACCTTGCCAACCACTTGCTTTTGTCCTGGTTGTTTTTATTTGAGTGTGTGTGTGCATGCTAACTTCGCTTATTACATGTCTAGCTTATTTTTGTCTGACTAAAAACACTTAGTCATGCCTTATCGCATTGAGTTGGCTCGCTCGCCTTCTTTACTCCTCACTGGTAGGCTTGTAGGCTTCTCATTCTCATGTCTGTCTGCTAAAATCGATGTATGCAATAAATCTATCCACAAAACCGCACTTGGCTACTTATTACAACCACCGCACGAACGGGGTTCAACCTAAGGATGATATACGGAAACTGAAGGAAAGATTTATTTCATCGCATACTCGGACGTCCGACCACAATGGAATCAGATCACAGGTCACCAAAAAAGCCATAAATAGTGATTGGGGAAAATACACATACGTACTACCAACCACAATAGGACATTTTGTGACTGCACCAAGTGTTGATTCGTGTATTCGTGATAGGGAGTGAAGTAGTGGTGTTCGAGTAGAGAGCTTGCATAAGGTTAATGTAATTCTTTGGTACACCTTTCAATGACAGACACTGCCACAGAACCTCACGATCCACTGAGTCGAATGCCGCCTTAAGGTCCAGGAACACGACTATTGTCGGACGTCTAAATGTGTGTCTGTGTTCCAGGACCTGTCGTAGTGTGAAGATGTGGTCTATACAACCACGTCCAGGTCGAAAACCAGACTGGTTTTCTCTAGTCTGCTCTTCACGAGCTCTAGTTAGACGTCTAAGTATAATGGAGGCTAACAAGTTAGAAACTATATTAGTTAAACTTATTCCCCTGTGATTGTCACAAGAGGACTTTTGTCCTTTCTTGTAGATTGGGATAATCAGTGATTGAGACCATTCATATGGTATTACGCCCAGTTCTCAGATTCTACCTAAGATCTCAGTAAACCTAGCTGCCAGAACTGGACCACCATCCTTAAATATCTCAGGGGTCAGTCTATCAGGACATGCAGCTCGCCCTCGCTTCAGACTACCTAACGCTTTCTCAACTTCGTAAAGACTAGGAGGACTTAAATCGATTTGCCATTCAGGATGACCGAGGATTGTGGGCAACTGAAGTGTGGCTCGAGGCCAGTTGAACTGATCCCTGAAGTGTTCTGGCCATCGATCCAGTCTCTTGGATTGAGAATGGATAATAAGACCATCCTTTTCCGAAATAGTCTCACTCACATTCGGGTTCCTAATACCAGTTTCCTTGACAAGTCGGTACAACTGTCTGCTGTTGCCTATCACCGCTGCCTTTTCCATCGCTTTAGCTTTCGCCATCCACTACTGTTCACGGTCGTTGCGTAGGCTTTTTGTCAGCCTGCGCCTAAGCTGACTTCGTTCTTCATCATGTTCATCAGAGTCAGGTGGGATGCGTTTTCGAGCATCCATCAGTTCGGTGGATGAGACTGAAATCCACGGCTTCATCCTAGCCTTATGGTTTACCTTGCTAGCAGATATCACTGCTGCTTCCACAGCTTTCTTGATTCTAAAGTCCTAGCTAGTGATGCCTGTTGCCCTATTTGACACAATGTCCGGACATTAAATGCTCCAACATGTAGTTTAGAACGGGGTTTAAGCAAACCACGAACGAAGTTTCGTGAACTCGCATCGTTTGCAATAGCGGTGCAGTGAGCTGAAGGAATGCGACTAGAGTTAGTAGTAGAGATAAGAGATATTAGGGGGTGTAGGAAGGATTTGATTTTGACCAATTCGGTCTCTCGTGCTGTTACGGGTATGAGGGCGGTTGTCACTTTCAGGCTGACAAACCATGGAAGGGTGTTTCTCGAGGGAGCTGAAAAGGAAAGTAGATTAGTGTTGGTCTTAGAGACCTGGATGCGTGACGGCAGAGACCAGGGGACAACTGCTTGAGGCCGGTCACGCACAGCCTTTTTATGAAAGGTTTTTAAGTATCAGCTCCGCTCTTAAAGGCCCTTAGCGGGCACCCTTACCGCCGGAGACGGGAATCCGTGAGGTAGGGTAGGTAGGCAAGCCCGACCACCACGTCAAGGTATAGCCTATATCATGAACTATACCATAATTAAATAATCACTGAAAAACACAAAGCGCTGAACAACTATATCGTCCCAGTAAAGAACTCTTCAGTAATACTCATTTACAATCTCACCAGAGATAATCGTTTTAGAGGTACTTGGAAGATATACTTGCTTTATATAAGTATTACATTACAGAGATAAAGTGAATTAGGACTTTTTCTACAATGTTGGGGAGCCTGAAATATCCCTCAAAAAGGTCTGTAGAGGCCCAGCAAATGCAAGGAACCTTTTCATCTAATCATCAAGGAACAGTGATTTCGCAGAAAGATTAAGAAAAGGTACAATTATGTGCTACGATTGTGATTAGACGTTAGCCATACTGATTTGAGTAGTGCAAGGGGAAAGGTGTAAAAAATTTTCATCAGTGCATAGGTGGGTGAGAATACTAAATTCAAACCATTGTAAATCCAAAATAATCTTGTCTATTGGCTTTAAAGTGGCTGTTTATCATGAGTTGTGACATATTTATTCTCTTCTTCTTCTTTGCAACACTGTACCGATAAATCAGCATCAATCAGTGATCTAATCACTTTGAATGCTATTACGACCCGACCGAAGCTGCTACCTTGACGTGGTGGTCGGGCTTGCCTATCGAGATAACCAAACCGAGCTCTACTGGCTGGAACATATGTTCCTGAAAGTTCTACCATGACAGGCAGGTCGATTGGAGAATGATGAGACTAAAAGCAGCTACCCAAGGTCTAAGGGCGAAGTCGTACTGCTGACTGCAGAGGGGTGTGACAGCAGTAAGGTGTTTCCCTCGGACAACCAGCATCTGCAGAGATGCTGCCTTCTCACAAGGAAGGAAGGAAGGTGTTAGTGGGACATAGATGGAATTAAAGCATGACTACGTCGCTACGCGCTGATTGGCTAATTTCCTATCCAATAAGCGCCTGATCGAAGCTTGGAGAACAGGATAGAAAATTCTCGTATCATTAGCTGCATGCTGATTGGTTAAATCTAATCCAGCCGATCACGTGAATTTTCTTCCAGAAGCTTTCTCATGTAAAGGCTATAAATAGACTAGCGTTGTATTTATCTTTGCCTTCTTGCCTTGGCTTTCGCCATCACCTCCGGCTTTTTATTCCTTGCTATTTTGGAATATAATCTTTCCTGTTCAACCGTGTTTTGACTTTGGGGGACTTGTTCAGTGTTTTGTGTCAAGAATACTAAGCAATAAGATTTAGCCGGGAATTATCTTAAGCAAGCGTTACAACAGAAGGGTTAGAAAAGGTCGACCCTAAGAGAGACAACGAACTCGAAGCCTTCAAGATTTGTGGCCGCGAGTGACTGACTTCAATAGGAAATTCTCAGAGTAATAATGAGAAACTATGACCGGTGGAATTCAGCTATACCGAGTTAGGACTGGATGTTCACACTCAATGGTCTAGTGGTCAAGAGCTAACCAAAAGACTTAAACGTTTGAAACTGGATCTTCAGTGGGGTGGTATATACATATTAATCAGGCGTTCCATACTAGGGATGATACAGTCATCTAGTACTAACTAGCTGAAATCAGTGTATAATGTTAACAACAACACTTTAAAAATGTACAACATAGAAAAAAGAAACAATACTACTCTAATTTACCTTCATTGAATTAGGTGATATAACTTGATTATGCATAGTTTGTTTCCAACAATCCGATGATGATAATGATGATTTGATAACATTATCATAACTAGATAATGGGGGTGATTCAGAAGCATTACGTCGTCGACGTTTACCAGAACACCATGATTGATGAGTTGTTTTATTATTAGTGGTAGTATTAGTTGTTGTTGTTGTTCTTCTTCTGCCATAAAAAGTAGACTGAGATGATGCTTGTGAACTAAGAAGAATTGATGAACCAACTGTTGATGTTGATGATGATGATAATGATAATGGTATATTTGATTTATTATTATTATTATTATTAATATTATTATTAATCATAGTTGTAGGATTAGTACGTGTTGCAGAAATCGACTCTTTTAAACGACGTTCAATATCGGGTAGAATTAGTGCAGCCGTTAAATCAGAGAGAATATGATGTGAACAATTGAAATGATTTCGATTAAAATTATTCATTAAGTGAATATTATTATCATTGTAAATAGAATGTGAAAGTTTTTCATGCTCAATTACAGGTGACCATGTATGATGAATAGGATTTAATGGAATCCAATTGTTGTTATTATTATCAGTATTATTACTATTATCATCACTACTGATATCATTTGATGATGTTAATAATAAATTTGAATTATTTATCTCATCATTATGAAGATTTTCTAATGAATTCAATGGTGACATAGAATTAGTAACATTGAAATCAATCCAATCATCAATAGAATCATGTATACTGGATGTATCACATGGATTATAATTAATGAGATAATCTTCATCGTCATTGTTCACAGTATTATTCATTGATATGTAATGATCATTACTATTATTATCAGTATTATTGTTATTATGATTATTATTATTATCCATAATCAAACAAGGTGATTCTGTGTTACATTCATAAGGAGCTGAATTCAATGCACCGTTACTTTCATGATCATTATTATTATTAGTAATATTATTATTATTATTCATACTAGTGACAGATTCACCCCATAGACTTGCTCTATCCTCTTTAAGCAATTCAATTAATATATCATCAGGTATCAAGTCAAGAGCTGATAATAAATTTCGATTATCTGTCAAATCTACATGATCTTAATGGAAATGAGAAGAACAAATGAGAATAATAATCATAAATAATAACAAAATAAACGTTTCAAATGGAATATATATATATATATATATATATATATATATATATATAACAATTACTATCAATAATACGATATATACATATTGACAAGAAAATTCAACAGGCATATGCATAATTCTAAATGAAGTGGAAGAGAGTAGTGTGTTAACTACTGAATGTAATATATACACTATGTAAGGTATAATGTATTAGTAATGATAATGAAAAAGGCTAGACGTTTAGACTATGGCTTGAGAAGATAGAAGGTAAACATGAAAAGATATTGGAACTCAAGATTTATAACAAATGTATCTGGGTTACTGCGATCAATTTCGAGCTAAGCCATAAGAAGTTTCCAACTATCAATCGATATTATCATGTTGACTTCAGTTAGGTAATCTACATCTACAGACATATCTCACACCAACATTCATGAACTGATGCTATTGGTTGGTTTGGTTGTCTTTTGGTTTCTTTCAAATCAACTCCACACCGATTAGCATCACGCGTTAAAATAAGCAGTGATTATAAAGATATAACGCGTATCCCAGCCACCCCAGTTGATGAAAGCTCACTACCTTATCAATCGATTTGCTTTCCTTACACAGTACCCTGCATCTAACTTCAATATTGCTCACGCAGTCGTTCCAAGGTACAAGAGTAATCCTTTGAAGACAACTACAGTTGAAAACATGCGATCTATACATATCTCCTACTTCCAGAGACCATGTTTAACAGTTTCATAGTAACAGAGTGGATTGCTAGATGGTATATACATTCTCCTATTCGTAAACAAACATTTTACCTATGCCACAGGTCAAGGAATTTGATAGACACTAAGTAAGCTTTCTGAAACGTGTCAAGATTTCGATAAATACAAGCCAACAACTGTTGTCCTTATATAAACCAATACACAGAGACAAGCTTTTTGCAACCAATACGCAAAAACGACGATTGCGACGGATAATTATATTACCCAGTCGATTAAACCAGAGAAGGTGCATAGATATTCGAACCTGGTATTTAGTTGCCACATATTAAACGCCTTAACTACCAAGTAACCCCGAAATGCCCTGGCAAGGTCAAGGGTAGGGAGAGTCCGCTCGATGTCTGAAAATACTCTCGTATGGCCACAAGTGTGTAGCCACTACCAGAGGGATCCTACTCACTGTTTTCTCGTAGCAGGGATGTCATTTTCCAAATCGAGTGTCTGATAATCATTAAACCGGGTTGGTGGGCATGGAGGATCCACCTAGAGGAGTTGGAGACCTTCATTCCAAACCAATGGTGCATATAAACTGTAAGATCTTGAAGGAGCATATGGGGTATGAACCTATTCTTGGACAATAACTAGCATACGACTTCATCTCTTATTGTTGATCCACTACCTTGTGGACCAGACTTATAAATCAAAGGCTCGGTGAGTGGCCCCCTTAGGAAAACCAGTTGTTATGGTTTGGGCAGGTAGAAATTATGCCAGCCAGCCCACAGGCAAATTCAATGGTATGTGTGGCGCATAAATATTTAGGTGGCATTTTATACTAATGTTAGTGCATTTAAATCAAAAAATAAAATAACTACTAAGCTATCACTCCATCCTTCTACATTACAAACTATCATCTTAATAATTAAACGACTTTTATTACTATTCATATTTTTACTATAATTATGAAGAAAATTTTTGTATAACCACTAGCAGACAAAATAAAATAGAATAATTTTAGCCAGTTTGAATTTGATATAAAAAAAATGAAAGATTTAAATCATAATGAACTTAATATGCTTAAAGTACCGAATTACAAGAACTTTGATTCAACAACCATTGAGAATTAAGAAGTACTAGAGTTTTTTCTTGCTATTATGAATGAATATACGCGAACCAACCAGGGCTTGGATCCAGGATCACTGGAACTCGATATGCCATTTACTCATGCAACCAATGGTTTATTAACTCAGTCAGCTATGATATAGAACTTTGTACGTACGTACATCAGTTCAAGTTGCCATATCACATTAACATAGAGATGCTATTGTCAACTCAATTCCCAAAGTGGTAGAGGTAGTAGCACCATTAGCGATAATCGAAAGATTAGGGTTCGAAGATATTATTCTAGTAGTATAATCCAGTGAAATAAATTTGAGAAGAGAAAAATGAAAGTCATGAGGAATTCAGAAGATTAGAATTTGAGAGAACACAAAGAGTGGATGTGCCTGCGCCATTGCGAACGATTTTGAGCCATGTCTTCCAAAGTCTATAACCATCGATTACAATTGTCTCGCGGACCCCAACCAGGTAGCCTGCATCTAACAACATGACTCAGTTCACCTGTTAGTGACTTCATGGATTTGTGCCATATTTTGGTTTGGCCGCCCCTAGCTTTCTCCCAACCTATTCCTATACCACAAAACATAGCTCGACGAGGCAGTCGGTGGTTAGCCATACGTAACACATGTCCCAACCACCTCAACTGATGAAGTTTCAATACTTCATCTATTGATCTACCATCCTAACCTATTACTCGTTTCCTAACAACAGCATTGCTTACTAGGTTGTCCCAAGATTAACGAGCAATGCTAGTAACCTACGAATATCCTCTACCCTTATTGGCCTTGTTTCACAGCCATAGAGTAGGACGAAGAGGAATGCTGTGCAGTGGACTCGTCCTTTTGCTAGCAAACGGATATCTCGCCTACGCCATAAGTGATGCAAGTTGGTAGAGTCAAATCAATCCTTCTGTATTCATGCCGTTAGACACCAAGCTATCAGCACTGATGAGACTCCCGAGACAAGTGGAGAAGTCAACAGACTCAACTACTTTACTCCCTATCACTAGTTCAGGTGCTGACAGAAGCCAATCCTGAATCAACATTTTGCATTTCGAGGAGGAGAATTGCATCCCGAAGCTGCTTGCATTGTTGCTTTAGGTGGTAAGAAGACTCACCATCTTGTCAGCGTTTTCACCAAACAGAAATCTCATTGGCATGTTTTAAGTCAACGAGCGAATCTTCTCGTAGAAAGTCTATTCCTTAAAAGTCAGATGATGAAATTGTCGTATCTAAAAGCACCTTGATGACAAGGTTGAATAGGAGTGGAGACAGTGGACAACCCTGACGAACACCACATGAAATAATCAATTCCGATGAAAGTTCACCATAAGCTCTGGCTAGACCAGTAGTTTTTGAGTAGAGAGTCTGTACAAGGTTAATGTACTTCTGTGGTACTCCTTTCAATTACAGACACTGATTTCTAACTTTAGTCAAATCGCGATTCCTGGTGAATTAGTGGATGAAACAACTGTCGAGTGTTTCCTAATTATCAGTAGTTGTCCAATAAAAAGCTATTATATGTTTTGGAATTTCGAACTTAACAATCACTACAATACCCTAAAAGAAACAAATCAATATCCTGTTAAGGCAGGTTTTCGACTGGACAAAATAACAATAGGAAATCAATATACGGTATTTATGTGTCTGGGAAAAACTAGAACAGTCACAAAAATATTAGACAGCAATACGCATAAAAATCCCAATAATAATAACAATTGTTAAACTAGTAACGTCCAAATTTTTTTCGGAATGAAGAATTTAATTTCTACAGTAATTTGTCGACGTCAATCATAACTTTCACAAACCTAATTACGATATTATATGAATACAAAAGTTAGATTTTACTGTTCATATATAACATAAATCAATCAATCAAATTGAAAAATGGACATAAAAATGTCCGTGTTGTTATTGAATTTCAATAGTATTAACATGAATAAGGTATTTGAAATTATAACTTCCTACTTTCGAAAACTAGCATACACATACATTCAGAACAAGTGTAAAATCGTTACAACTTTTAAATTAAAACAATTTAATTCCCTTTATTATCTTTAAGAGAGTAAGAACAAGGAATTAAGCGGAATAACATGAATTCATTTTATTTCGTAGGGTTCTTATCAGGTGCTTACAACATAAAACATTTTAAAAATCAGAATAATTGTAAACTTTACATACTTATAACAATAAAAGGTTTGTATCATCATAATGGAGTAGTGAGATTGTAGGTATAAAAAGTGTTGAATATAATTATATGTGAGGGAATATTCTGGATCACGAGACCCAGAGTAACAAGAGGTCACCGATTTTTAAAACACCATAGGTTGCAAACAACTGATGAGGACCCTAGGAAATTATATGAATCCACATTATTCCGCTCAATTCCTTGTTCTTGCTCTCTTAAAACATGTGTTTTCAACTTCCGCCAATTTCCCATTGATTTGATGAATTTGAAATAAAAGTCAATAACTGATAGTACTAACGTGGTGGGAGCCACTCAAAAAGTAGTATGTAGAGGAGTGTTAGATAGAAGTTGCTACCAGAGAAAAAAGAACCAGGCGATTGAAATGCATGAAGTAATCAGAGAATTCCGAAGACCAGAAGAGGTGTGAGAGAAGACAGTCAATAATTTGCTTGAGTTGCAAATAGATGATTAAATACTATTTGCGGATATTTCGTAAATAAATTATGTCGACTCTAAATATATAAATATTCCATTTGGTCTTGACTTCTTCAAATGCTAGACTATTATAGGAATAATCTTTGAAAGATTAGTTCTCGATTAAAATACAGTCAGTCAGTCATAAGTAATATAGATCCTGGAATATATGTGGGTTGATTTGAATTGGTATACCCACAGTTTGGATTCCGTAAGGATCATTGTGGAATAGTCAATCGAATTGAACTTACCGCTCTACATCAACTTCATCGACTACGAGAAAGCATTCGATAGCGTGGACAGGACAACACTATGGAGGCTTCTTCGACACTACAGTGCCTGAGAAGATAGTCAACATCATACGGAATTCTTATGATGGATTCAACTGCAAAATCGTGCACGAAGGACAGCTAACAGACTCCTTCGAGGTGAAGACCGGTGTCAGGCAAGGTTGCTTACTCTTACTCCTTCTGTTTTTCCTGGTCATCGACTGGATCATGAAGACGTCTACATCTGGAGGGAAGCACGGGATAGAGTGAAAAGCTTGGATGCACCTGAACGATATGGACTTCGTAGATGACCTGGCTCTTCTATCGCACACGCAACAACAAATGCAAGAGAAGACGACCAGTGCAGCAGCAGGTTTCAACATACATAAGGGGAAAAGTAAGATTCTCCGATCCAACACAACATGCAACAATCAAACCACTCTTGACGGAGATGCCTTGGAGGACGTAAAAACCATTACATATCTGGTCAGCATCATTGACGAACAAGGTGGATTTGATGAAAATATGAAGGCATGGATCGGAAAAGCAACGGCAGCATTTTTATAACTGAAGAACATCTGGAACTCAAAACAACTATCAACTAACACCAAAATCAGGATTTTCAATACAAATGTCAAGACAGTTCTACTGTATGGAGCGGAAACTTGGAGAACTACCAAAGTCATCATCCAGAAGATACAAGTATTTATGAATAGTTGTCTTCGCAAAATACTTCGGATTCGTTGGACAGACACTAGCATTAACAACCTACTGTGTTAGAGAACACACCAGATCCCAGTGGAGGAGGAAATCAAGAAGAAGAGCTCGAAGTGAGTAAGACACACATCGAGGGAAGCACCCAACTGCGTCACAAGAAAAGCTCACTTGGAACCCTTAAGGCCAACATAAAAGAGGAATGACAAGGAGCACATTACGCCGAAAAATGGAGACAAACATGAGAAGATTGAATGAAAATTGGACAGGACTGGAAAGGCAAGCCCAGGACAGAGTAGGTTGGAGAATGCTGGTCAGCGGCCTATGTTCCACTGGGATTAACAGGCCAGTTGATGAGGTGATGATTGTTGCATAATTATTAAATAACTGGATTATTACATACTTATATTCGTTGTCTTAAGCTCTTGACTAATCCACTAACCAATTTTGTGTCAGTTTATCACTCACAGACACTTTTGGCTCATCTTCGTATAAATGTTTTCTCGTTTCATGGTGTGATGCGGTCTGCTATATTTTGTGTATAAGCTATGTTTGAAATAAAGCCAATTTTGTGGAGGTGGCTTACGGACTACTACTGGACTGAAGTAAGGTAGAGAGAAAAAAACTTATTGACTTGTGGACCAATCAGGATTCTAAGCTGACTCATGCTTTCTGGTGGTACACGTAATTCTGATTGGTGGTTTGTATTTATCACGTGATATTGATGAACGGTTAAGTATACAGGAATTTGTACACAATATTTAGTAGTTGATGCATATGCGTTTATTGACTTAATTTCAAGCAAGTTGTGAGTTGTATGCTTTGCCAAGACAGTAAGTAATACAAACCTAGCACACATAAGTTCAAGCTGTCAGCACATGCGCACAACAAAATGGCAGCATAACGGAAGTGGTAATACTTTCTCTGTTTGTGGCAATGAAGTCGTTTCATATTTGTTTCTTTTATTCAATAGTTTTTTTTGGAAGTGTGTGGAAGTCAGATTTTCAGTTGCTTTATTCAATTCACATGTTTTTGCGAGAATTCTGTGTACACATATATTCTTCAAATTCGGTTTTTTTAAGCAATCATATTGACAATTGGAAAGCATAAAGAATTGAACATACACAATGTTTTCATTAACACAGAAGACTGTCGATCGTCCCACAGTCATATCATCATATGATTAAACTAATGAACTATATAAAAAAAAACTGTTTCCACCGATACGTCACCTCCATAAATGGCTCTTAAAATGTCATAAATTTGTTAATGGTATTAACTTAGTTTCACCAAATACTTTTATAGCTTATTTTGCGTACTTATTGGACATATATATATATATAGTACAACAGGAAATATCAGTTAATTAAGGTCATCAATCAAAATATTAGAACGTGAAAAGTGAAAGTGAACATTTAAAAATCAAAATTTGAAATTTAAGTTAAGATCATTTTACCAGTAAAACACATAGGCTTGAGAATTTGACTTCAAGTTATGAATTCTTGTGTTAGACAACAAGTGATACTGAAATGAAATTGGTCCCTTAAAAATAAATAATAGTAATAGATCACTAAAATTCGACCATATAAGATCGTATTTATTCATTACTGTTGTTGTATTGTTTTTGTCAGCTTATTATGATTACAATAGTTGCTTGTTTGAAATTCTGGATGTAAAGAGTTGTTGTTGTTGAGTGAAAATATCAGATATTTATTGATATGACATGAAATTGACTTGGTCAGACCTGTTTTTAATTGATTAATTGCACTAAATATTTCTGCATTATTCTTTTGTATTATTTAGACCTGGAATAAGTTGGTTCTTTGAAGAAGTGGCTTATGCTGAGTCTTGAGAGGTCAGAAAAGTTTACTTTCCTACTCATTGGGATATTAGAAATATATTAGTTTTATTATTACCAATCTATACAATGTTTTATTTATTTGAAATTATGAAGTTAAACCTTAGTAATGATAGATGAAAATGTCTATGATTGATATAACAGAGAATTGTGGATAAAATGAATAAATTGGCTTACCTGTTTCATTGGTCACAATATTTGGAAAATTATTTGAAGCATCATTCACATTACCATTAGGATCTGATTTAAGAGCTTCTGATAATGTTACCATTGAACCTTCATCATTGGAGAATAGTGGAGAACTCGGAAGTACAGAGAAATGTTGTTGTGGTTGCTGTTGTATTTCATGATGATGTTGATGATGGCAATAATGATTGAAAGCATCCAAATCTGGTGGAATAGAGACAATAGGTACAGATTGTTGATGATGATTTGGCAATATAGTTTCAGTGGAATTATCAAAAGATGACATAGGATTAGTAGGAATCAGATCTATTGCCGTTGGTATCGCAACCGCAGCTGTAACTAATGTTACTTCAGAATGAATATTATCTGAATTGGATGATTTATCTGAAAGATTATTTTCATTAACTACTAAACTAGGTGGAGTATTAATTGGTGGAACATGATAACTGTCACATGTTGAAGTAGTATTGCAATCTGTTAAACATTGAGTTGTTAGTTGATACGAAATATTCGATGATAATGAATGAGATGATGTGTCAATATAATTGTCCACTAATGACTGTACAAAAGGTGTTGATGTTACAACTACTGGTGTTGTTTTTGTCATGGTTGTGGGTGATAATCTTGATGTTGTTGTTGTTATTACAGAAGATGGATTGAATAGTTCAGTTAAATCACCAGGAAGATGACCATGAAGATGTCCAATGAAATGAGCTTGAAATGATGCTTCATCAGAACAAATAATCTGACAATCTTTAAGTGGGCAGGCAAAAATTAACCTTACAAGCTGATGTTGAACTGAAAAAATAAAAATAACCAGTAAAAACAGAATGAATTATACTTTGAAACAAAACTACTGATTGCTCATAAACTTCATTAGGTAAAGCCTTAAGTACAAGCTGTGTTGAATTCTTATTTGAGAAAATAACTTATTGATAACATTAAAAAATCGATATATATATATATATTCTGTGAGTACCCTAAAATCATGTTTCAAACTTACGATACTAGGTACCTATTACTCGAATATAAATTTCAACAGTTTACTTAATTCAATGAGCATTAGCAGAAGCGAATGAGTTAGTTGACTCACTAAATTAATACAACTAACTCATGAATATCTACACTAGATTCATGAAATAATTTTATACATGAAACTGAATTGAATTCCTCGAATTTTTACCAGGCTACAAAAAAATATAGTTGACATCAAGAACTAACCCAACTATTGAAAGTCGCGGTGCACTAAGCAGCAGTTTCACCCTAGTATATGAGACTTCTTAGTAGTGCGCACTCATAAACCCCATAAGGACCTTAAATTGATAACAATCATGATGATTTATTTTTGAAGCTGATTCCTAGAGTTTTAGTGAAAGGCCGTTACTAGTGGGGTTCAACCGTGTTGGGGGTGAGACAGTTAACCAATAATGACAGTGGTAAACTTTCGAATAATGATAAGAGTTGATGGAATCTAGAAATATAAACCACTGGATGCCAAGTGTGCTGTAGAGATTATGAGCTACCTGAGGGACCCAAGGGTTCTATTGTAATGAACGAAGACTTCAAGACCAGATGGAATAGTGGTGTATTTAGAGAAGACAGTTTGTCAGTAAAATATGTACACCTTATATCAAGACCTCCATTTACAAAACAAGCATATTATTGGCTGTATTCCTTCACATGTCTTCCGATCTTCAAAAGACTATGATCGTGCTATATATTCGGATCCGACACTCGGCTGAACACTACTTTTAAGTCACGTTGCGAGTAGCATCTACCACAATATGTTCGACCCAAGATAGAGTTGTGGATGTGTGTTTCTGAGAAGTATTATACAAAGATAAAAGAGTTGTTAAGTACATTCTGGTATTCGATATCTTTCTAACAAAGATTAGTTCCTGATGTGAACCATGAAATCTAAAAAACCTCATAGATATTACAATCATAAAAAAACTGGTACTGTCCTTAACGTAATTTATTGTTAGAATGATTTCGTTCCCTGACAATACTATTGTACAGAGAATGCAAACTTTAAACATCAGGTTTTAACATAACGGAAAATGATAAGAAAAATTAAAAAAAATCAAAATGTACAAAACGTGCTAATGAAAAAATATATAATTGTTGCACAGAATTAAAATATTTTTGTTTGATTATTCACAACATAGCCAATTAATTAGTAAAGATTTGTAATTTCGTGTTGCTGGAAAAGTAACACGTTCAAATTTCAGTGTTAAATATCAACACTGGGATGTAGATACATCTAGTTGAAGTGTCTTGAGTTTCATTATTAAGTAAAATTCAACTTTAACAAAGGTTTGTAGTTAAATGGCAGTATCGAAGCAATTCATTCAGGATATGTACGTTCTAATACAGACTGAGCAATTTTTAGTTATCAATATTAACAACAAGGAGAAATAAACCATTACAATTAAAACGTATACTCTTTGTACAAGCTAGTACCTATTTGTACACACTAGATAACCGAATAACGTTTGATATTTAAAGCGATGGCTACTAGATTCAAGTTTTAGTGCGGAAATTAACACTGGGATGTACTGGGTACATCCGGTCGACGATGTCTCAAATAGGGTAAAACGAACCTCGTGAATTCTACTGCCAGACGCTAATATCCAAAACAACTAACTTTACAATATAAAGTACGAAAGTCAGTACCAAGTACATAGTAACTTTAAACACACCGTTGAGATGTAAGGAATTTATACAGTAGTAGTTAAGAAATAAACTTAAACAAAAAACAATAACAAAATTTTAGAAAAAAATTTTTTTATTACTTACTTTCTGGAAAATGAATACTTGTTAAATGAGCAGATAAATCAGCTCTACCTGAACATATATAAGTACAATTATCAACTGGGCAACAAACACAATCCGTTTTTGAACAACTCAATGCATGTACACCGCTTATCCATTCACGTTGTTTAGTTTTACATAAATTCCAATCAACAATATGTCCACAACTTGGACATTTATTATTTAAATTATCATTATTGTGATTTTTATTATTATTATTATCATTATTCATATTGAATACTTGTCGAGGATCATGTCCAGTACTTAATGTACGTCGTCGACCATTATCTATTTTACATACTTTTTGTTCATTTATCATAGTTATGTTAGATGGAGTTATTGGATTTATTGTATGTTTAATCATTGATAAATCATTATGATTACTACCACCACTGACTGATCGTAATCTAGGCTGTTTCTTTATTGATTGTTTCATGACTGTTGGAAGTTTGGTTTCACATGTTATTGAATGTATAGTATGATCTGTTGAATTAGGATTGTCCATATCTACTGACATTGGGAAATTATTGGAGCATATAGCTGTGTTTAGATATAAATAAAGGATGAAAAAAAAATACAGGTTTATTTTATAATCATAATAAACAAAAGATTAAAAGAATATGAATATTATAATTAACAACTGATTAAGTCAGTCAGTCAGTCAGTTGCAACGTAGAACTTCGTACGTATGTACATAAGTTCAGGTTGCCATACCACATTATTAGCACAGAGACGCAAATGTCAAATCAAATCCCATAGTGATAAAGATAGTAGAGATATTAATGTTATAATAAAGAAGACTAGGGTTTAAGATATTATTCAAAAAATATAATTCGGTGAGATAAGGTTAGAAAGACAAAGGTAGAGGTGCTGGCTAATCCAGAAGATTAGGATTTGAGAGAGCTCAAAGAGTGGATGCACCTGCGCCATTGCAAACGATTTTGAGCCATGTCATTCAAGGTCTCTAACCATTGATGACTTTCGTCTCGCGGACCCCAACCAGGTAGTCTACATCTACCAACATGACTCAGTCCACTTGTCAGTGACTTCATGGATTTCTGCCATGTTTTGGTCTGGCCGCCCCTAGCTTTCTTCCAACCTACTCCTACACCACAAAACATAGCTCGTCGAGGCAGTCGGTGGTTAGGCATACGTAACACATGTCCCAACCACCTCAACTGATGAAGTTTCACCACTTCATCGATTGATCTGCCATCCTTACCTAGTACTCGTTTCCTAACGACAGCATTGCTTACTCGGCTGTCCCACGATATACGAGCAACTGATTAATAGGTTGCCTAAAACAGAGGTAGTCCGAGAAGAGTTTGGACCTGTAAATTAGTAAGTGAAAGTTAAACACCTGAACCACTGATTCACCACATATGATCTTCGAAAATTCCCTAAACTTATAAACCTTTTATTTCTGTAGCAGCTGTTGTCCTATCGTTTTTTTAAATATGCTACTTACTATCTTGTTTTTAAGGTTATGAAAAAATTATCCATCCAAGTAAACTTAGTCGGTAAGTCAAATAAATCTTTTGGTTAAAGTAAAACGTAATATTCTGGATATGTTGGGGGTTAAGAAAGAAAATTATTTATACTTACAATCTTATGTGACACTCAGAGTGCTAGGGTTCTCTACTTACACTAACAAGACATATTCGAGTTTCGGTACGTTAAAATATCATTAAGTCCTGATGCACCATAAAGCTAGTAAAAGTATTCACACAACCAAAGGTTTTAAATATATACATCTATATTATAGTATGGTAAAAGTTTGATTTTAAGTTGGGAACTATGATCATCACATTTCAGTGAAATCGAAACTTATTTATATACATATAATCACATTCATATCAATCAGTTTCATAGTATTAGACTTTATCTCTCATCTACTGAATACCAGTGATTTATGTACCTGGTTATGAGCAAAACATTTTGTCTAAAGCCTCATTACACCATTCAGCTCTTGAAATTGAAATAGGTGTGAAGTGGGTTCGGGAACCTACTACGCAATTGTTCTAAAGTGGTTGCTGGAATGATCGTTTCACAACAATAAACTTATCGAGTAGCAATTAGTCCTCTATAACACTGGAGATCAACTCCACCAACTAGTCCCCGGTTGATAATCTCAATGTTTTATTGTCCAAATTTGTAATGCTGACTAAATTGATGTAACAGGCGAGCATCTTAATCTATCTCATTAGGACTTTTATGTACCTTTTAACTGATTATGTTTTAAATGACTTAATATTTAACCTTTGTGTTTAGCATTTTCTAAATAAACATATCATCTTAATTAGGAAGAAACTCATTCTTCTGCAGAAAAATCTTGTCTGACCTTATAATTCATCTAGAGAGTTGGTGGTATCAATAATATCTACGTTAAATGTGAATGGCTGGTCAATAACTTGGTTTTGTGAATAATCATCATTTTGTTAAATTGTATTGTATCATTGTATTTATTTATTGATTAGCATTCCATTTATTTATTTTCACAACTTGTTCACATCAAATCATAAAAATCTGACACTATAACACAATAATTTCATGTGCCAAATATAAAAACTCTTAACATGGTTCAATTTTAAATGGTTATCAACAGCGAAGTCAATAGAGAATTGTAAAAAACAGAACAAGAATTGGCTTAAACAGAAAGAGTGAATAAAATTTGAAAACATTTCTCAATGTAACAAAACAATATTAACGAATTATCATTTGTAGAGCAGCTTCAAGAGAGAATGTGAGGAAGAAAGAGAGAGAGAGAGAGAGAGCAGAAAACTAAAGAAAACCAAAACGAAACCCATTAATTCACTCGCCTAACAACAATAATATCACATGTCCCTAATTCTAAATAGTGGTTAAGTTAAAAAGCATGCGAAAGAAATGCGGGATGCAAAAAAAACAATAGTAGTAGTAGTAGTAGGAAGTAATAAAAGTGACTGATGACAACGGAAAATTTCATATGATAAGGTGTTCCTTTTTTTCCTCAAAAATCAGTAAAAAAACAACTATTTGTCAACATTACTATCCAGAATAATAAGGTGCAACAAATCATAACTAGAAAGATTGTTGAATGGTGAAAAAATAATCAATGCACAAGCAAAACAAAGTTTCTTTAATATGCAAGCAAAACAGTTGTGTGAGTAAATTAACAACTGCTAAAAAAAACAATTTGCTCAAGATGCTTTGATATTCTTAACGTCAACAAAAGGAAAATATAAACTACTACAAATTAAATTTCTGCTCATTGCGAAAACTAATGTGCCTGGACACAGTAACTCAATGGATAATCTGTTGAATATTCTCAGCAAAAGGTACTGGAATTGGACCTGGTATGAAGATCAACAATGCAATATGGCAAGTACAAGTAGTTGATGAGTTTGAAATATGTCAAAATGTGTGTCCATAAGTGAACTACTAGATGTTAATCAACTTCAATAATCACTAATCTGTTTTTAGGTAATAATCAACGGTTTTAGGAAGATTTCAGTGGGGAATTTAGGACAATCGTAATCTTCACCCTTAGTGCAAGCTATGCATACTATTAAAAAAGTGTATCACTTGCATTTGAGCATTTTTCATCAAGTTACATACATAACAATGTTACCAACAAGCTGATCAACACTAGATTCTACATCTTGAATAATACTTTTGAACCCTAATCTCTCCGATTACTGCTAATACTTTTACTATCTCTACTACTATGGGATTTGAAGTGAAAATTGCATCTTTGTGCACATGCGGTGTAGCAACCTGAACTGACGTATGTACGTACGAAGTTCTATGCTATTGTTGACTGCCTGACATAAAAAATTCTATACATAAATGATTATGAAAAGACGAAATAGCTGCATTTTCAACGGACTATTTATTTTATTCCCTAACCTTCAAAACATTTAGTCACTACATACTATTGCTTTCGGTTGTCGTTAAGAGGATGTACAGGATAAACACATAATATGTGGTCCCTTATTGAGTGCAAGATTGACACATTCCAAACCTGTGGTTTGTTTAACCGAGACAAACCTGAACAGTAACTAATTTTTCTATATCAGTATTTGGTTTTCTGGAGATTGTAAAATTTTCATACATTAGATCACGAACTGATCTGAATGAGGATACTTTAGCAGTGCACATCCATTATTCTGCATTACTTATTTATTCATTTCAACACATAAACATTGGTACAAATGGGCACCTAAAAATTTGTGTACTACACAAATTCATAGCTACTCTGTAATTGGGAGTCGAACCGAGAATAGAATTTCGTGCGTGCACGTTTCATCTTCAGACTACTGAGCCGGCATCTTATGGTATATAAGTCCAACTTTAATCGATTCACAATATTGCGCGAGGACATTAGGAAAAACTAAATAAATATGCATTATTATAACTCAGTTTGAACTGAGATTTGATCTAATGTATCAAGTAAAAAGCAGCAAACTGACTGACGTGTCTAGAATATGTGACGTATTTCTGAACCACCCTCTGCCATGCTGTACAACACCGACTAATATAATGATACCATGAGGAAATGTTTGGAAAGGACAGATTTAAAAAACTGACTAATCCCTGAAGTCAATAATTGCTAACCTAAGCCATGCGGACTTCCGGGTTAAAGCGAGTACTAACACGTGAAATCAACAGTCGAAGACATTTGATTACATGGTATGGCTTTTACTATTTGTAATTGATCAAGTTTCTAAGAATTAAGATTTCAATAAATGTGAACATAGTAGCAAAGCAAACTAAAGTCTCTACAACATCCGAATACAAATAGCATGAGCTGTTCAATATTATATACGAAACGAATTATTGCGGTATTGTGAAAATTGGGAAAAGCTATCAGAAAACTCGTTAGATATTGAAGATTATTTACAGAGATGATAAAATGAGAAAATAGCACTTTTCAAATGAAGCAGTGGTTTGAGTGAACGTATGAAGACTTTAAGGATACTGTATGTTCAGAATAGTCGTTGATCACCTGCATAGATATAAAATTGGACGTGGATAATCTACTATGTTATTGCATAATCTTACTCATTGTCTAGGTAATTGCATGAATGTCTGGAACAATTGAAACTGAAATAGAACAAGTGTATTGTCACAAGCTCTCAAATGACCACGTGTATATAGCCACTGCCAATGAACTATTCACTGCCTTCTCGTGGCACGGGTGCCGTAGACGAGTTGGAAGGTGCGTAGGATTTGCCTAGAGGAGTTGAGAAACTCTAACTTCAAACCAACACTGCACACAAGCTACAAGATCCTGAAGGAACAAATAACCTTTGAGACTATTCTTGGACGATAACCACCACACGACTGCATCTCTTAACGTCGATCCACTACCTTATGGATTAGACTTCTACATCAAAGGCTCAGTGAGTGAACCCCTTAAGAAAACTAGCTATTTCGGTTTGGACACGTGAACGGTATCCCAGCTAGCCCATACACAAATTCGCAGTTGTGTGTCACATACATATTTTGGTGCCCCTTTGTATCAATAATTATGTTCAAATAAATAAAATTGTCGCAAATGAGAAATCATTTGCAAAGGATAAGATTTACATACTTTGGATTGTTCAAAATAAAGTTTTTTTAAAAAATCTTGGTTCAAGTATTTAAAAAACAAATCATGTATTTGGAGTGTCAACAAGCAGAATATTTATACTGAATGGAATGTCATACACATTAAGTAATCTTAAAATGTTTATACAACTATTTCTGATCAGATTTATAAATACAAGCGTATACAGTGTATATATGCATACTTAGATTTAATCGATTTCTCTTCTACAGACTCTATTTAATGAAATAATTGCAACAATATTAAATGTTTTTTCTGTTGTTTTGTCAACTTTTATTTGGCAAGGATTCAAGAATGAATATACAAAGTAGTAGGAAGATAGCATAATGCAGGGGAAAGGGATGGATAGACAGATGATTAAAGGAGGGGAAGAAAGGGAGTGGGAAATACAATCAACGATCAATAAAACGTAAAAAGTTCAACTGTTTGTTTTTTTTTCGTCAGTTTTTTCCCTTTGGTTTTATATAATAGGAAAAGAGAAAGAGAGATACTGCTCAGAAATAAAAATGTGGAAGAAGGACGAACAAGAGAATTAAGAGAGAATGTTAGCAATTAATTTACCTAGTTTAAAAGTTTGGCAGGATACGGTATCGATTTAATTTTAAAATTTTTTTAACAAAATCAAATGAGAAATCAACAAAAACCCAGAAACATTGAAATTAATTAGAATTACATATGAAGAAACATTTTTGTTCTATGTAGTAGCTACTCATCAACCGAATAGGAGTGTTTATATATTGTCTTCAATTACACTATTTGCATGAAAGTGAATGTCTCTACTATCTACTTAAATCAACGTGTATGAAATACGAAATGTTAACATTGATTGGGTGAAAACTAATTGTCTTACCAAATTAGATTATTGCTTACCAATGTAGATTGACTGAATGATACGACTAATATATATATATATATATATATATATATATATATATATATATATATATATATAGCCAGTAGCTTTACAAACTAGTAACTACAAATTGATTTAGCCATATTCTGAAACTTTTTTTCACATATTTCTCATAATATAAAAATAAATAAAATGCTGTAGATATTATTTTTTAAAAATACAACAGACATCTTCATCAGATGTTAAGTTCTTTGAATACCATGATTTAATTCATAAACTTTAACTACATTCTCCATGGGTGTCGAATTCAAAATCAATATAATCCTTATAAAATTTATTTCATATATATATATATATATATTAAACCAATTCATTTATAGAGAGAATCATTAAAATTGACCAATTTGTTGTTTGTGAAATAATCTTAAAAAAGTTGAGTTTTATTTGTAGTATGTGATGATGATATTTTAATCAAAATGACAAGAAACAATTAACAATTGATTTATTTACCTTGGAGAAACCAACACACTGACAAATGCAACTAGTTTACATCACGAAACAATCTTAGTTAGATAAGTATTGAAAACGAAGAAGTATTAGACAATTGTTTGATCCTAAATATGGGACTACTTAGCAATACATATTGCGGAAACACTGACAACTGAATTCAGAACCTTCGGCGAATCGGAACCAACTGGATTACATTGATAATTTTAATCGATTCATGAGAGAGTATTATTTAATTAAGTTTAGTCCACAATGTAAATTATAAAATTCAACAACCATCACAAATCCCTTACATTGACAAACAAACAGTTTGCTTTATTTAAATTACAAATAAGTTGATCAAAGAAAGAATAGTTAACTAGAAACATTTAAAATACAATCCATGTTAGTAAATTAAGAGGAATACTTTACGTGTACCTAAAAATAATGGAACGATATGCTTAGGTTCACATATCAATTTACGCTTTATATATTTGATTACAATTTGTTAAAATGTATCGTTATGTAAAATATCAAAACTAAAAACAGTCATATTCATCTAAAATTTCAATACTAAATTGGTTGAAAAATTAAAACTACATTTATGTTATTCAGTTAATCTATGATTTAGGAATGAAACAGATTTAAACATTAATCTATTAAATTACTTACCAGATACGACATCGTGTACTTTACTTGGCCTAAAGTTATTCCAAGTGTAAGAGCTATTTCATACTACACAGTTTTCCAACCAAAATAAATCAAACAGTGATCAAACCTATGACTAAGTGACTAAAATTAGGAAGCTTAACTACTGAACCACCAAATTTAGACCATTTAACTTAATGTCAGACTTACACAATGACTCTTAAAGCTTAATTTTCATTCTACTCAACCTACAGCCTTCTTTGCACTTCTTGCCAATTAATTTAGTTAAATAATGATGCAAAGTAAGTGATTCCTTCCTAAGGCTTAATTATCAGAATTCTTCAAATCTAATACTGAATAGATTGTAATCAAAAAAACAGAATAGATTTAAAAAAATTAATTAACCAGTTACCAACTTTCAACGGAATTAATACATGCTAAATCAAATCTTCATGATTATAGTTTTGAATAAAATGACATTACTGGAAGTTACTAAACTGTAACATAACAAATCTGTATTACAATTATATTTGCTTAGATGAATCAGTAAAGATTCATACCTATCGATAGTAGACCCCTAGAGATGAATAAATGTTTGGCATTCAGAATTACAAATAATAAAAATCATTTCAGAAAAGATAATTTTCTAAGAGACGCTCAATTTCTATAGGAATAAAATCGACAAAACGTTTAATGATGAATCCATCCAGAGGCCAAGATAAAAAACGGTTTATTATCATAAACGTGACAAGAACAAAAATACTAACTTACCAATCAATGGGACTGAGACATTTGTTCTGTCTTCATTGGAAGAAGCGGTTGAACAGACGAAAGGCAACGCATTATCTAATATAGGTGTCACTTCTTTTAGCTTATCACATGACAACTCATTGGATGAAGTATATTCGTTTATCTGTGTAGTTTCGAAGGGTGCAGTCGAAGGATTAAAGTTTATTTTAGTCATTTCAACCTGATTGGACTCCAATAAACTCTTTGAGTGCGACAATGATACCGTATTATTCTTAGATAAACTTTGTTTCGAGATATTTTTATCCTAAAACAATTTAATGATAAAAAATATGGTATTATAATCTGATATTTATTTGAAAAAGTATAGACATTCCGCAAAAATAGATCATCAACTTTCAAAACACTTGTGAATTCAATAGTTAGTATCAGTAACTCAAAAGAAAGTAATTTTTTATTACTACTCTAGGATGCATTGCGATTCAAAGGACCATGTTACTGAGCAAACACATGAGTAGTAACTAGACAATAACAATAACCAAATTTTAGATCAGGGCCACTGATATTTTAAGAAATCGAACTCCAAGGTAAATGCATACAGTGTAAATCTTAAGGCTTATAATTAAATACGCAGTAAACAATAAATACAGTCAGACAACCAGGTTAATTAAAAAGATGTTTTTTAAAAATCTGTTTTGTAAATTTTCGATTTTTATGGTTATTTATTTAGTTATCAGTTTGATATAACCTACTCATCAAGTACCTGCCTATATACTATGGTTCAAGACCCAAGTTAGTTGGCTATGTGACGGATATCTGATAATATCTGACCGCACGAAACCAATTCGGTGGGAGTGGAGTTTGACCCTGCCATCTAATGGTTGAAATTCGGGTGGTTTAACAACTAGGCCTCAACTCCACTAGTCAGAAGTTTGGATGAAAGTGATAGGGTGTGGTAAATTGGTTATCAGCTATTTTTATGCAAAAACCATGAGAGCTGTTTGTATCTATTTGAATGTCATTGTCTGAACTTATCACGTTTACCAATAAGTAATTGTTCTCATTACTATTCGTTGTCATTGGATGCATCATTAAAAAATTTTTCTTAACCAACTAGTGGATATGATTGTCTCTTCCTAAACATCGTCATTGTCACCGCCAATATGAAATGGTGAAGCGAGTTTCTTATAGGGGTCGAATAAGGTCAGTGGTTCAGTCAGTCATAAGCAACATAGAATCTAGTACATCTGTACATTGGTTTAAATTTCCACACTTTACTAGCACAGTGAGGAAGAATTGTCAAGGCAAGCCCCAGAACAATAAAAGTAATGATAGTACTCGTGGCAGTAGAACAGATTAAGCATAAACTGATTCTGAGCCACGACACCAAACGTCTTTAATTATTGGTCACTATAACCACACGGACCCTAACCTAGTAGCCTGAAAGATATCAGCATGAGCCAAAACATCGACCGATGCTGTTAGTGATTACCAAATGACCAACCTTCAACAATTAAGTTGCAAGTTTGGATCCCACTTCAATTAATTCTGCTAGAAAGACTGACGAAAACAATCATCATTGCACAGAAAATTGTAGCAGTAGACTGAATATACAAACCTATTCATGACCGGTTAGTCACACTAAGATTTGATTAATTTCAAAAATCTAAGCCTATATAGACTAGATTTAGAAGTGAAGAAGGTATTATAAGAAAACTCATGCAACTCATTGTGACATTATAAGCAATATGATAATATAGTTGCATGAATATCGCTCTCATTAGTTTTTTGCAGTAAGTAAACATACGCGATTGACTTAATGATGATTAAAGAAAATATACAAAATGTAAACTACTCCTATGATCTGTTATTATCAATGGTCAGGTCAGGTACAACGTAGAACTCCGTACATACGCACATCAGTTCAAGTTGCCATACCACATTAGCACAGATAATTGTTATTGTTGGTGTAAACACAGTGTCAATTTAACTAAAAGTATGATACTATATATGAGCGTCCAGTGAAGTTTGAACGAGTTTGATAGGAAGTGAGTGCCAAGTATACAAAAGATGTTCTACGTTGTTGCTGAGTGACTGATATAAAAGACATGATATATAGAAATTACATTTGAAATAAACTCAGAGACTGGAATTTAGATCATTACAACGTTTCGTCCAGCCAATTGATTCGAGCTTCTTCAGGGAAATAATCACTAACACTATTATCAGTATAGTACATCTAGTATTTTTATCGAATTCCACAAATAAATAGTTTTTAGAAGTTACTTAATGAATCTATCAAGTGGAAGTAAGAAATGAACTATGAGTACTTCTATACCAATATTATTAAAAGTTTGAGTTATTCTGCTGTTATTATCCAGTATTAAATTTATATCAGTGTTGGTATATGTGCATAATGAGTGGATTGTCGTGAAGTAGTTATTTTTCAAAAGTTATTTAGAATACATACCCTATTTGGCTGCCTCAACTCTATAGCTTAATAAATAACGCGTTAGTATTGGGAGTGAATGATGCTTCACCTAAACCGGAATGTCGGCACATCAAGTTGACGAACACTATATATATATATATATATATATATATATATATATATATATATAATACACTTTCAAGTGCTATTTCAAGTACATAAATATGATATGCTTTTACGTACTCTCATGAAACTGTCGAATCAATGTTAATGAGTACCCGATTGGTCAAAAATACTGTGAAAATAAATGAATATATGATAAGTTCTATCACAGCTAAAATATCTAAGTGTTAACTGTGATTTTTGGTGAAACTGTCGACCACTGGGCCAGGCAGACAATTTTTAACTATACATCACAACCACGACTCAGACAATTGTATGGAAACCTAGCTATGCGTATTTTTATAACCATTAGAAGAAATAACCAGAATAAATCAGTAATTAAAAACCTAGAAACATACTCTCCAAAATCTTAGCCACAAGATAAAACTGAAATATGATAAGTGATAAGAAAAACAGAGAGAGATCCTCACCGTTTCATCAACATCATCAAATCCTATGGATTTTATTATCCTTTCCTCTGATGCTGGACGTCTAAACATTTGCGAATTGGTCACAGGGCGAGTTCTTCGGGGCAACTCAATTTGTTCACCATGATACTTAACTAAATGACGAAGAAGTCCAATTTCAGCTTGATATCGACGACCACACCTTGGATGAGGACACTTGTAGAAAAAGCAAACTAATAAGTGATAAATATACGATAAAGTAAAATTGAATATATGTATCCTAACAAAATTGACGAATTCCTATCCGTTTCACATTTAGTCTAGTCTCAAAATATAATACACCAGATATTAGTAAGAACACTGCAATAGAAGCGTACATAATTTAGTGACTAAAGACCATGCATACACTAGACAAATCGTTATTTTCTTAGTTCGGTTCTTAAGTGGTTAAAATGACCGTAAGACTAACAACACATTCAACCTTGGATTGACACATAAGTAATATCAGTTGGTGAAAGTCGACAACACAGACGAAAAGTAAGGTCTAGCAAAAAACATGTGCCTCATTTTACTTGTGAAAAGATAAAGTAAAAATTGGTATGAAAATGTTAAGATGGACAAGAAGGAAATTTATAGGTGAAATTATACATTATATATAATGAAAAGGAACAATATGTACACCCTAGACTGTAATTAACCTGAGCTACATTATTTAGGAACCTTAACAAACGATTCCGACAGGAAGTCATCAAAAGAACTTTACCTTACTTATGCAGCTCGAGGCAACAATAAGAAACTCTAAAATATACCGTTCTAGCATTAATTTATTAATAAAACACCATTATTAATAAAAAAGGGGCACCGAAATATGTATGCGACACACAACTGCGAATTTGTGTATGGACCAGCTGGGACACTGTCCACGTGTCCAAACCGAAATAGCTAGTTTTCTTAAGGGGTTCACTCACTGAGCCTTTGATGTAGAAGTCTAATCCATAAGGTAGTGGATCGACGTTAAGAGATGCAGTCGTGTGGTGGTTATCGTCCAAGAATAGTCTCAAACGCTATTCGTTGCTTCAGGATCTTGTAGCATGTGTGCAGTGTTGGTTTGAAGTTAGAGTTTCTCAACTCCTCTAGGTGGATTCTCCATACCCACCAACCCTGTTTAAGTCTTGTCAGACACATTCAACTTGGTCAACAACATCCCTGCCACGAGAAAACAGTGAGTAGGGCTTCCCTGGCAGTGGCTAAACACGCGTGGTCACGTGAGAGTATCTCGAGAAGGAAGCACCCTTCCCGCTCTTGACCGTACCAATGCATTTAGGGGACGAATTAAAAATAATCATTAAAATCAATATCAAGGGACGATTATTTCTGAATTTAAGATAAAGAAAAACAACGAACTACTTACAATATGTTTGAAACGGTCATCTGAAGTAGTGCTTGGACAGCCAAAACGATTTGTTGACGTCATTTCCACACCAGTAGTAGGGTGAGAACTTTTTGATTGTTGATGAGAAACCTATCAGGAGAGAAGTAGTCCACAAGAACTTGATAAACAATATGGACTGCACCTTTGTAATTGAGTACTTATGGTAATCGCTACTTGGTCAAGGCAAAATACGTGGAATGTGCTCAAACAAATCGTCGACGAGTACTCATTGCAATAAATGTATATAATTAGAGTTAGTTGTCCGTGGGTCAAGTTTGCAAGAATTGTATTTAGAAATGGCAATACTTACTGCTTGGAATGACGTAAGTAGAAAGTTTCAAACTAGTCACTATACAGCTGTTACCGTCAGCGATTTACTGACGGATGTATAATTTCTCTTTTACATAGATCACTACTTCTTTTACAGGGTCAGTCAGTTACAACGTAGAACTTCGTACGTAAGTACGTCAGTTCAGGTTGCCATACCACATTAGCACAGAGACACAATTGTCAGCAGAAACCCCATCGTGGTAGAGATAGTAAAAGTATTACTGGTAATGGAGAAGAATGGGATTTGAAGATATTATTCAAGATGTATAATTAAGTGAAATAAGTTTAGAAAGATTTCTTTCCAGCCACCATCTTTTACAGGGTGGCTAGAAGGAATAGCACTGAACGTCGTCGTCTATGTTAACAGATGTTAAATTTCTAGTACTCAAACAAGTGGAGTTTGACAAGCTGAAAACGATTGAATAAGATTCCGAAAATATTTCTAGACTCCACACATTGCCACTAACATTTAACGGGTGGGTGGAACTACATGTTTATCTACTGGCTTACAGTATAACCTGATTACAAGATTATTCTGGTGATAATAAAAGATCATATCTGAACACGTTGTGCTTTTTTCTTATTAGTTAAAAATTTTTAGTTGACCCATTTTCCATTATTAGAAAGCGATACATATACATCAAAAACAGAAACTCGCCAAGAACTATCACTTACATGATCATTGACCGTGCTTCCTTGACTTTTGGCATTAAAAACGGGAGATTCTAGCGTGCTTGTAGTAGATTTGGACAAAAGTTTGGCCTGATTTGCTTTTCTTACTGACAGATAGGCCTGTCTATACCTGGTTGTCTCTTGAGTATTCGAAGTGTTCAAGGAATTTCGGTATCTCGCATGAGTAGCCAGATCGAGACTCCCGATTGGAGAGCGGTCACGGAGAGCATTAGATGTAGAGGCTTTAGTAGACACATTGCAGAGGTTCGTACCAGAGCACGCCTTCGAGCGCAGTGTTGCATTGGAAAACTTATTTTTGTGAGTTGTTGAATCAGTGGACTCCGTCCCAAGTGCTAAGGCGCCCAATTCAGCCACACTTCGACATGATGGAAAAAAAGGAAGTATGTCGGCCATTGACTGCAGTGAGACGGTTTTTGGGTAACGATTTTTATGAGGAATCTGATCTTTGTGTTTCTTAGTATCAATGTCCTGGTGTCTAGAGGGTGATATATGACAAGGATTTTGTAAAAGTGAGCTATCAAGAGTGTTTAAATGGTCGAACGAACTCTTTGTTTCAGAAGACGCAGCACCATTTATAACCAATGAATGACATACCTTCGGTGACATAGGTACCTGGTCCGTCTTAGGACCATTGATACACATATATGAACCATCAGCTACATTGCGCTCTATAGCCTCGCTCTCATTGAAAAGACTGGCCTCAAATGATTGCAGCAAAGAGTTTTCTGCATTACGAGAATGTATTTTACTCACGGATCCGTTCTTGACATATCTAATTGGGTCCTGACACAGATTGTCAGGTGTATCACAGAAATTGGTTTGGGTAGTAGTACTGCAAAAACCACCAGCGGCTTTGGTCGGAGATGAGTTTGGAGAAGTCAAATTGCTGAGTATTTCATCAACTTCGCGGACACTTATCGTTGGTAACTCAATGTTTGGATCTAGAAGGCTATTAAACAGAGAAACAGGGTTGGTATTCCTTTTGCACCCCTTTTGAATACATTTTACTGGAACGTTTCCAGAGTATCCACCTGTGGAGTTGACATCAGGAAAGTCACCTGATACACTTGAAAAAAGGATCCCACCAGGAGATCGGCTAAATATGGAAATATTGTCGTGCGATTGTCGACCAGTAGTGAAATGCCTCTTGTTTCGCACAGGACTTCGACTAACTGAACTCATTTAAAGACTAACAGTAGAGAACTACTACAATCTGATTTTAAAATTTCAGTTTCTAAAGGAATACCCAGCATTCCGCGACGGTTTGAATCATTAGTTAGGCTTTTTGAAGAAACTTTGTTTAAATAATTAGTTCAGTAAGTCGTTAGCTGTATATCCAATGACATATAACGAGTTGTAGTGGCATCCTCCAATGGTAAACTAGCTACATGCATTAACGAGATTAAGGAAATCCATGACTGATAACATAGTCCTCGGATTTAAAATGTTCGACTACCCGGCAACTCTGACCTTCAACTGTTAGTTTGACAAAAACTGAACATCAGGTCCAAGGACGCCAGATCCTATTAATCTAAATGATCTTAAATAGACAGACAAGCTCATTTTAACAAGACATTTCGACTCCAAGCAAAGGACTATCAATGGACTCAGGTGAAAAAGTGCACACAAAGACAAGTTGGTAATAGAAAAACCAAATACTAGGTACCAATCCAAGAATACATGACATATAAAAGAGAAATAGTTGTAAACTATAATAAAACACTGTCTTGAGTCCGTAAGAAAATACAGAGTCGCTTTTTGGATGGCTCCTTGGAAATCACTTAGACCAGCTCAACCGACAGAGAATCTGACTACCCTTAAAAAACAGGAGGCAAGCCTGTAATAAGTCCCGTTATATTGTACCGCTAGTTCCTGAATATTTTTCCAGAGTTTAGTTTTGTTACTGAGCTTAAGTAAGTATTTTAAAGTATGCTCAATAATATTCTTGATTCTAAAGGTCATTACAGGGTCACCTCTAAGACACCTATAGCCCAAAGAATAGAAATTCAGTGACTTGAGGTATTATTTTATAAAGTTTGAACTTGAGTCTTCGAACTTATTTCGTAGGTTTTCTTCTGTACTCGTCCTAGTGTATTCTTTGTCGATTGGGATTGAGGGATGAAGCACTATGTTTTCGTATTCGAAGCACGGACGAGAAGGGTTGATGAAGGGTGGGTGCTATGTTATACTATCAACCTGACCAAAAATGCTATTTAACGTTACCATTTCGGGGTTTGTTTGTAAGATGCTTCCCTAATTTAAGTCCTAATATGTCCTTTAGAAAAATAATCATTTATTCTCAAGTACGATTGTGTTAAAAAAAGCATGCCAATTTTCAGGCAAGATCAAAATTTTAAAATTGCTATCATATTTTCTGTAAAATTTTCTTTGTTAGACAAAGATTTAGCAGGATATACTGGCTTTTTACAGAAAGCTAAGGTTTTATATATGAAATTATAATTAATGTTTCAGACTTTGGAATGTACAATACAACAGGTGGCGCGAGCCATCTTGAATGCACTGCCCGGAACCACAACTGGTTAAGAATCAATGAAAGTTGAATGCAGGTCTGACTGTAACAAGAAGTGATGAGGTAAATATGTTGTGATTAGGTCATTTGGTACGTTCATGACATTAGATTTATTATTTTTTAACTCCGTTTCTTAAGAAGGCATGAGTGAGCTATTTTTCAACATTATTGTCCACATAAGCTTGTAATAGGATTTCTTGTTAGAACGTGAAACCAGATCAAGGTTACAAATATAAGTAACTTAAATATCATTGATCAGTTATATTCTTCCATATCATGAAGAGACATAAGCAAACGAAATGTTATACTCCACAGATATGGGTAGATTGAATTATCGCCCCACCGTCTTGAATGCTGATCAAGTACGCTACCTGTCCTGCTGTTGTGATACTGGGCTTTATTACGTTTAACTGTACGTTTTTATTATGGTTTTCGTCTGAGATCTATTTTTTGTGCACTAATAGCTACATGTTACAAGCATATCACACAACTTTAGCTTCTGTATGCTGGACTATTATTAAGTTAGCTAACAGTATAAATTGTAGGATGTGGGTTAGCTAATAGATAGTTTGTAGATAGGAAGGTTAGACAGAACTCATTAAACAAATTCTGTCCTCCGATTCTGATATACACTGGCGATACAAATATATAAAATTTTATAAGAGCCGACGGGAGTTAGCTTAAATTTCTAAAGGACCTCACAACAATACAACAATGGCTTCGTATTATAGGTTGAAATTCGGCTTTTCAAAATGTCATATCACGAACATTCTGGCTCATGGGACACAAACAGTTACGTCTTCTAAGGCAAACCGATGTTGGTTGTCTCCACAGAGTTTAACTTGAAGCCAGTAATCACAGAGAATTTGGACATTAGTTCAAGCTGTATCGTGGATGCAGCCAAAACAAATGCAACTCTTCTGCTAACATGGAAACAACCTGATGCATCACCTCATAACTACTTCTGACACTAATTAAAATGTACTCTTGCCTTCACTTTAAAGTTCCTAACGTTGTCACACCTCATGTAATCAATAAGCGACATGATCTTTTCAGACCAAATTCGTATCAACAAGTTCTATGAAAACTAAATACATTTGGAGACGTTTAGCTGAGCTATAGGAGAACGAGAGTTGATTCGGTCATGGTATACTACTCACTAAGTATTCCAAGTCACTCCTACACAGAGATTCCAAAGGAAAATCATTGCTACTCTTCTCGAGACAACCCCGGATTATTCAACATTACTGGGCAGAGTACACGTAGGTTCCCACATTCCTCACTAAGAGTTATGCTGTTTTGGATGATTCCCTAGCCGAAACAAATACAGACCCCTGGGCGCATAATTCTAAAAGGAGATTTGACAAAATCATACCTAACCGTAGTAAACCATCCACTCGGACTAGCTGTACTTCATTATCACATTTTATCAGCCTATTCCTATCTGGCTATTCAACACACTTACTTATTTACCGCTTGAGACAATCATCGTTTATCATCCTAATTTTCACCACTGTTTAGCGATCAGCTGATTTATACATATGTGTTGTAATGAAGATTGAGGAGTCATGTTTGCTTGTAACATGGAACTAGTACAGACTGTATATCTCGACAAGGTGTGCAAAATGGAGCTAACACTATATGATTAATAAAATATATTACAGGCGTAAGAGAGCCTAAAATCATAGCAAATATAATACTGTCCACTTCAGTCTCCTAAACAGTATTTTAAAACTTGTGTGGAAAGCAATACATCTTAATGTTTACGTTCAGTTTATCTTTTAAAATATCAACTTAAGTGAGCAACTTGTTTAGTATATTTGATAGCATTTGTAGCATTTCGATCTTACCCTGTGCACTAGCTGCCTCATGTAACAAACTGTTATCTGAGAATAATAATAATCATTATTGTGAACGGTCTGCTGTATGATTGTCTGAAACATTAAGATATCTGGTTAGAGTTATCTGCAGATATTCCAACCTGTTGATCTCAAATACACTCAAATCCTATTCCTAGGGACCTCAATCTTCCTAAAGTCAGCTTTTCTGAACAAATAGGCAATGGGAGCAGAGGGTCTACAGAAATTTAGGAGCTAGAATTATTCAGAGATGTGCGGTTGACAACTGTGAGGAGAAATAACTATAAACCATCAAAGTAAAGCTGCATCTCTGAAGACAGAGATCCCTGGCTCATAGGTAAAAAGTGATCATGCAGCTACAGCCTTCATAGTTATCTGTGCAACTGAAAAGGCCATTCTGGTGGGAACAGGTGTTACAATTCAAGATGTGGATGATCCGTAGCAAGCAACTGGGAATCCTCTATTTTATCGGGTATCGAGATCGTTAAATATGTAGGAGTCGGGATTGGCTGTGAGCACTGTTACAGACCAAATACGTTCCCGTCAAATAGTATAATATCTCCGTGATTCAAGGACAGAGAAGAAAAGTTAATCCTTACAAGGGAATATGTTTGTTGGCGATTTCGTGGTGTCTAAGCAATACCTAAATCGTATCAAAAAAGAGGGGTGAAGTTACAGTGATCTACAGCAACAAAAAGAAAGTTTGCGTTTACAAATGAACAAATAAACAAAAGGTTCAGTAAAAAAATCTCTTGTAGAGTTGGTTATAATAATGAAGTTCCTATCAAGCCAATCTAGTTCTATTCATAAAAATAGAGTCACTACCAGCTCTCGGTTTCTTCTTTCATTCATTCTTGCGTGCCATTATTTTGTTTGTTTTTAAACTGTCTCAGCGGCCGATGTTTAGAAGTAATCTCACACTTATATCTCCAGCATTCGGAAGATTTTTACTTGGTAAAATACACACTAACCAGTAGTAAGGGCATATATATAAGAATTATCAAATAAGCATGGTACCAATCTTTAAATTAGCAAGTGGAAAATAAGCTCAGCGGTCATGTCAAACTACTGGACAACTTTATCGAGAACCAGACAGCTTTCTCTTTCACTCTTCAATAAAAGAAAGAAATTATCTCACGGCTTTTAAGTTTTAAGGGTCAAAAAGCAACTAAAGTGATGCAACAGTGATCGTGGCAAAACGGTATTTAATAATCTTCCGACCGTTACTTTCTACATCCAATACCCAATATCCAATATCATTTTCAAGAGCTATTATAAACCAGTTGATTTCTTTGCGCTCGATTCTTGTTCTTTCGGCACAGTTCCAGGTGTTCGGTAGTGTACAATGAATGGGGGTCTAGCCACTCGTCTGTCTAATCCTAGTCAATTGGCTATTGGTTGTGAGTTTGTATGTCTCGGGATTTGAATGAAAAAGTTTGTTTCAGCGCAGTAGGGTTTTTGGATAACAGCAGCAATCATATTACCAGACTGGAGATCAGTTAGTTGTAATGTGGAAAGTAATAAGAATAATAAGTGAAAAATGCTAATGCCGATGTGAATAAAATTTCAGAATCGAGTAATATATAGATGATTTAAATTATTAATTGGTAGTGAAGATTGTAAGAGAGGACCGAAGTGTAAGCAAGTAAGAGGAAACTGAGATAATGCGCGAGATAGATCCATCGAGTGATCTGAAGAGATGGCAATGATAACAAGTAGCAGGTCTCAAGATATGCATCAAGTACAGCTTGTCCAAGAGGGAGATGATAATCCTTATGTGAGTAAGTGATTATCAGGTCTCTTCTTAAAGCTGTCCGCTAAGGGTACTGTGTTCATCTCGGCTGGGAGAACATTCCAAGCTGCAACGACTCTCAATGAGAAAAAGTGTACACGAACCTGAGTATTCGCTCTTTGATGTGCAATTTTTTGAGGATTCCCTCGAGGGGAGTGGTGGTGATGCATCGGTAAGATGCTCACATTTGGATGGTTTGGTGCGATTAATATGTTGTACGTCATAATCAAATCACATCTGATCCTCCTTTAGCTCAGTAGAAATAATCCCAAGTGCTGGAGTCAATCTTCTTAAGGCTAATTTGGATATTGGATATTATGACCTTGAGCTGGGTACATTTTCTAATATTTACGCAACTTTAGATGTGTGCTGTTTCATGTTCTCTTCCACAGCGTAATGTCCTACATTATTCCAATGAAAATGAGAGTTGGTATGAACATATTCATGGAAGGTTTTTAGATGGTTGGTTATACACCTAAATATACCTACAGCCATTATCTTTTTCACGAACTAGTATAACCCCCCTATTCAATTGAGACTACCAAACACCTGGAACCGTATCGAAAGAACACTAATCGATCGCAAAGAAACGAATTAATTTATACCAGCTCGTGAAAAAGATATTGTATATATTGGATATTGGGGCTGATTTCTTTGTGCTCGATTTTTCTTCTTTCGGTATAGTTCCAGGTATTTCGTACTGTCAAATGGATAAGACTAGTATCTTCTATATATTTTATGACCTATGGAAGACTTTCTGGCAGTATAAACTTCACTCTTATAGACACTAACCGTTCATTAAATCCGATGTAGTGTTTTTGTTCAGTGTTCAGGATTTCTATGAATTGGCGTCTGCTACGATATCAGGATGCTACTTAGCCATATTGTTATGTTCAGCCTTTGGTAAGTTTGCGATAGGTATCAAGACATTTTATGAATTTGGGGAGTATGGCGAATGGTTTGTGCAAAGTCTGAGAAAATCGAGCAAGAGCGAAGGTAAGCAGACGACTCTAAGTAAATAGAATGTACTAACGCCTAATAATAGCAGCAACTGTCAATAGTGAATATGTAAAAATGAAATCTGATATCTTGAAATAAAAGTTGGATTTTGGATGCGCTAAGGTATTAACGATTCATTGTCGAGCAAATATCAGATAGGGTTCACGTTCGACCTATTCAGTCCGTCTATGAATTAGTCTTGCCTTAAGTTTGCTATTGATTTTACTTCCGAGCCATGTATGATGACTTTCAACCACATTGATGATAGTAGTCTTTAATTCATCACTTGAAGTACATTAACTTATTGAATTAGCAACTCTAGCATACTAAGCGAGGACTAAAATTATTTAAATTTGTTTATACTCAGCTCCGAGTTTATATGCGATAATATAATAAGCAAAAGCTGTGAGGCTGCAAGCCCAGGAAAAAACTCATGACGATAAATCAAGTTTTTTGGCTAAAACGAGCTCTTTCGTAGAATTACTTTGCAACCTACAACTTCATTGGTTACTTTAATGCTAATTAAACTATCATCCATTATTTGTAGTCTAATATTTCAAATCCGGACGCTATTCCAAACAGTAGTGTAATTTTTTGAAATACACCATACCGCTGTTTTTGTATAAGTACAATGTCTGCGTATGCGCAAGGTGGAAATGTAGGTCGTGGCTCCGACACAATGATTGATCGTTATTGCAACTCTTTAAATATACTTAAAGAAAAAGTTGTGGTAAGTTCGTTGGTTGACTATCATCTCACCCTCTTACCTTTGTCAACAGAGTCTGTTAGAGCACTATCATTCAATCATTATGCAGAAAATGGAATGCGATTTAGGCAAGTAAGTTCGTATGTTTGGTAATCTGTGTTTTTATGATGTGGTAATTGTGACTTTAAACTTAAAATATAGATGGTTTATTCACTGCGATCAACATATTTTATTCATAATCAATCAATCAATCTCTGTATATCATTCTTGCAACTTATATAAAAACTAGATTGTTTAACCTCACACTGGTTGTTCTAAGCATCAGTCATTCAGTCGCTTACAACGTAGAACTTCGTATGGACGTACATAGTTTTACATTGTCATACAACATTAACTCAGAGACTCAGTTGTCAGTTCAAATCTCAAACTCGTAGGGATTAGTAGAAATATTAGCGGTAATGGCGAAGACTAGGGTTCGAAGATACTATTCAAGAAGTATGATCCAGAGGAATAAACTTCATAAGATAAAAATCGTTATGAGGAATTCAGAAGATTAGAATGGATGCACCTGCACCATTGCAAACGACTTTGAACAATGTCATCCAAAGTTTCTAACCATCGATTTGTATCGTCTCGCGGACCCCACCCAGGTAGTCTACATCTACCAACATGACTCAGTCCAGCTGCCAGTGACTTCATGGATTCCTGCCATATTTTGGTTCGGTCAACATTCTAAAGTTTATTATCTAATTCTCACCAAAATTTAAATTTTTTACACTAAACTACCATCCCTCTTAATGACAAGTTGTTATAAATGGTGATTATTTCGTGCCTCGTTAGGTGTATGAATACTGATTGTAGTTTGAGGAGTGCAATTTGTGTACCTATAGTAAAACCTGGATTGGCTTATATCAAGCTGGATCACATTTGGCTTCATTACAACGTACAACTTATCGTAAACTAATCCTGTTCCTGCTTTTATGCTTATTACACGATCTTAACCCCCTTGTTACCTCATAATACAGTCACTTTGTTTGTTTTAGGTTTTTCCTTGATACTCTGTCGTACATGTTTGTACTAAAGTGTAATCACTTTCCACTCCGAAATACAATATTTCGCACTAAGATATATACATATTGCAAGTGGTTACCAGACATCAAAAGCTATAGTTTCATGTTAAATTATCTGAACTGAAAGTCACAAGTCATCACGGATACAGAAGGCTCGAATGGCTTTTGCCAACCTTCGTCACTTATGGCGTGGGCGAGATATACGTTTGCTAATGAAAGGTCGAGTTTACTGCGCAGTAGTTCGCTCCGTTCTACTATATGGATGCGAAACATAGCTAGTCAGAGTAGAAGATATTCGTAGGTTACTAGTATTCGATAATAGATGTCTCCGAAGCATTGCTCGTATATTTTGGGACAACCGAGTAAGCAATGCTGTCGTTTGGAAACAAGTACTAGGTAAGGATGGCAGATCAATAGATAAAGTGGTGAAACTTCATCAGTTGGGACATGTGTTACGTATGTCCAATCACCCACTGCCTCGAGGAACAATATTTTGTTGTGTATGAGTAGGTTGGAAGAAAGCTAGGGGCGGGCAGACCAAAACATGGCACAAGTCCATGAAGTCACTGGCAACTGGAATGAGTTATGTCGGTGTATGTAGATTTGCTGATGGTTAGAGACCTTGAACGACATGGCTCAAAATCGTTTGCAATGGCTCAAGTGCATCCACTCTTTGTGTTCTCTCAAATTATAATCTGACTTCCTCATCACCGTTATCTTTCTCTTGTTAAGTTTATCTTACTGAGCTATACTTCTTTAATAATTTTTTTGAACCCTAATCTTGTCGATTACCGCTAACATTTCTACTAATCCCTACGAGTTTGGGATTTGAACTGACGATTGCGTGTTGTGCTAATGTAGTATGGCAATATAAACCTATGTACGTACTTACGAAGTTCTAGTTTGTAAGTGACTAACTGACTGACTACCATCAATAGATGTTGGTGCCTCATTATCATTGACCAAACTTTTTTTATCTGAGATGTATGTGTGGTCAAATTTTCATTTTATAAGTTCTTGAGTTCGATTTAGTACAGTTCTGACTCAATAATTCCTTAATGTAGTTCATTGCATAATTTCCACTAAAGAGCTAACTGTAATATACAGTGTTTGAGATTGAATTTGATATAGTAGAATTTTAAGGTATGTTATAATAGTTCAGCATCTAAATTTATAGTTTTATTCAATATCTTATGATGATTAATCTCATGAATAATGCTATTTATTTTGTAAACTTAAAGCGAAAATCTGGCGTATACTGTCTTCTTTAAAGTTTGTTAATCAGTTGAACAAACTTATGTATATTCGAAGAAATATACGATGTTCCGCATAATGTTCTTATCCTTTCATCATAAATTATCTTCTGTAAAGTATTCATTCCTAATGTTAATACCAACTTTTACGAGAATGCTTGTTATATAAAATATTTTGACAACTTTCATTATATTTTTATAGCTTACTTACCTACAATGCTGATGGGTTTCAAAGTCATTTGGCAGATGTCTTTTCTCAGATAAATGACGTTGAAATCCATTTAAACAACTTGGAGGCCTGGGCTGGTCTTCCTCCTGAATGCTTCACTTCAGCTGGTTTGAACTATGGTATCCCAGATCCAGATCAAGTATCTCATGAGGCTCAAACTCTAGTCGAGGCTGTTCGACATTTACAAGCTGAATTGCGTGCAATGACTACAAAAAGTAATTCAAACAGCACAACCGCTACAGAAAATATACCATCAGTTAATGCAACTGAAAAAAGTGATAATAATCAGGATCGCACTACATCTTCAGTGCTGAATACAGTAGCAAGACAAAGTCCTATTCCGTTGACGGCTATAAAATCTGAGACTAATCCTTATTTCATCCAGTCTAATACATATATATCGCCATCTGCTGATGATCCGAATCAAGTATGTATGGACACACTACCACAAGTATCATCTTTTACGCCGAATGAAGAAGGACGTGGTTGTCCCCAGCCAGGCAATCGACTTTCATGCAGTTCCAATACTAATCCAGCAACCCATTCACCTGGTGTTGATCGACGTCAACAATCTACTATTTCGACTGATGTTTACCGCACTGCATCTGGACACCATTCTTCATTCTCTTCGCCTATCCCACCACAAAATTATCTTCCTGGTCAATACAACCAGTTTCCTCCTAGCTCTGTTGAACCTATGCCTTCAAATCGTATGGCTTCTGAAGCGTATTTGCAATATACATCACCAGGGAGTTTAGCACGAGCAGCTGAACCGTACACACCGAGACCTCAGTGATATTCATTTTCTTACTTCAAACCTAGTAAAATTTACAGTTATGAGAACGCATTGCAGAATGACAGTATTAACTTTTGATCTGTATGCAAAATTTAATCGCTTGTAAAAAGTTTGTATATTTTCATAATGAAGAAAGATATCAATAAAACTTTTTTTACAAGTTTCTAGTTTTTATGGAATGTATTTTTGTTGTTGAGTACAAACAGTGATATGCACACAAAAGCCATGGTTAAAAAACCTGTTTATTTTGATTTTTTTATTTAGACTATGTGGATTGTTTTTAAGTCCATTGTATATTTGTTTTTGCAAAATATCCAGAATACTCAAGTAACAAGCGGGAAAAAGTACTACGAAAAAAAATTAAATGTAGTTTGTTCGGTTGGTGGCGGTTAGTGGACAGATGGGATGGTTTTTCACTACTCCTTAGATAATTACTGATAACCCTTAAGGGTCGAACATTTGATGTCAATACACTTGGAGCACTTTTGGTTTACTGCTAGCATAAGCACAAGGTTAGCAACTCCATCTCATAGAAATGAACCTTGCTAGCAAAACACTAACTATAAAAGTCAATCTGACCATTTGATGTATGACATTAAAGTTATTCACTCTCCCGACTTCCATAGAGATCTAACATATCTATCTGAAGTTTGTCCTAATGATGTTGTTCAGAAGAATAATGAAAACTTTACGATCAAACCATCCAGCTCAGAGAAAAAGACTCCACCAAGATCAAACGTATCTGTACCCCCAGTGTGGTTAAACTGAAAGGCTGCAATTTCCTATTAGAATTGTAGTACGCTGTTTTTAGAGCAAGTCATATGTCAAAAGTTGATTTGTATCTATTTCGGTGGTTTTTGGATAATTCATCAACTTTGGACCGTTGTTACTAACTTCCGATGTTTCTAACCTCTTATAAATGGTCTTAAAATGTAGGATATACAAGGTTAGGAGTTTGGATAAGTCAGTTTACGGCATTGATTTATTGTGATGTATAACTAATGTGGCAGAAAAAAACTACTTGTATATTTTAATTTAATGACTATTCGATGACTTGTTTAATACGTTACAGGGACTTATTGAGTCACATCTAGTGAGGTTTTGAGTGCTTTTACGATAGTATGAATATGTTCTACAACTCTGATTATTACCATTTCACAGTAATGTTGGTTACCCCTTATTTTTAAAGGTTACAGTATTTCCCAAAAATTGCTTCATAAAAGATTAACTGATATAGATTCGTCTCCCAATATATCACCATCAAACGTCCAAAAGAGTTGTTAAGTGTAGAAAATGAATTTCAGAAGTGATCCTTTCATTCACCAAAGCATGACTTCACAATAAACTATATAAAACCAGTAAGATACAGAATACTATAAAGTTCCTTTTTATAGCTAGTATATTAAACTAAGCTACAATACAGTGTTTAGGATGGTGATTCAGGAGTTATTTACTACAAGTAAAATATCGTATCTCTTCGGAGGATAAAAATATGCGAACAAGTTGACTTGATTAGTCAATTCAACAACTGCTGACAGGAACAGTTTGGTGTCTTATTTGGTCAGTAGTATCCACAAATAGTAAATACCGTATGATAAATTGACATTATCTATATGCTACCTGATTAATTCGTAAAACAGATAAGTCATTTTATTAAGGATGTTCGGAATTTATTGTTTGAAAAGCTTCGAATATAAAACAACCGATTGTTAATCCTAGTAATTTCATTACATATATATAATTGACCATTCACTAGATGTGATAAGATTATGGAAATGATTCATGTAAAAGTCGTCTTGAACGGTTATCTGTTTGAAACAAACCATATGTATCATTTGTCGTCTTTTTACTTAGTTGGGATTTGACGTATGGTAAAATCAATCATTAAACTTTCCGCATAATATTTCTTTACTGATTTTATCTAAGAAATTAAATGTCCCCAACTATGCTGACTTATTCCCTAGCTTTCAGTGGTTGAAAAGAGGAAATCTTTATTACTCAGCTTTCCGTACAACCGAATTGAATCGATTTAAAAGCTTCTACAGTATATACAGATATCAAAAGAGGATTTTCAAAGTTGTATAGTGGTAAGAGCAGCAAACTTCTAAAATGTTTCGTTCATTGACTCATGCTCTAACATATTTATTACCAACAATTGGATTGTATGGTCACCTGTACAATAACATACTTTTCAAACAAATATTCGGACTATAATGATATATTAATAAAGTTTGAGTTTTTACTTATTATTAGATGATTGATGGTCCTTTGGGTTTTATTTAATCATTATATTTTGAATTTCAGATATCTACAAAATTTCACTGTTATTGGTCAAACAACTTCCCTCGTTATGATAGTTTTCTAAGCTGTGTGAAAAAATGTAATAACTTATTCTTCATATCTTTAAGCACATCTACAAAATACTCTTCAAGCAACCAAAAGCATTGGGACAAACTTGGTGTGAGCCCTGATCAAAAACCAGGATGTTCAAGTGCTTATCAAGAAGTTGGAACAGGAATGAGAACTGTAATACATGTGCCTAATCATCGGATTGCAGCTAAAACCAGTGGAGGTTCTGCAGAGGCGTATATGCAACCAAAGCCAATCAATATACGATATAATCCACGTATGTATGGTGGTGGCTTGCTTCCAAGATTGACTGAAACTGATCAACAAGTTGTTCTACCTGAACATAAACCGCGAGATTTTTGGTCCCCACATCGAGCGTATTTTGGTCAAAATGACTATATTGGTATGCTTACCATTTTTGCCTATTTATATATAGGGTAGATTACTGCATCCATCTATCATTTTTTAAAATATATTTTCACTGTTGTCACACAAATCCGTATTAATTAGCTTTATGGTGATTGAAAGTATCTTTAAGATAGTTAAATTTTTCAAAAAAAGAAATGATTTCTAGTCAAAAGATTACAAATTACGGATTCAACAAGATGGATTATAATGAGATAGATACTCGCCTTCACGAATGGAAAATGATCTCATCAGGTATAGTTTGTTTGATGTTGACGAATGTTGATTTTTAGACGCAAAAACTTTATTTTGACCAATCGTTAACAAAGCCTTATGATTGTGTGTTACGATATGTTTAAGGTGATATAAATTATTAACAGTTACCATGATTAATCTATTTCTTGTTTGCTAATAACATTCAACGGTTGTTAGCTTTGTTTTTGCTACATGTATCACCTGTTAACATCCTCTTTGTCTAACAAATGTATTTTTGAACAGTTATTCTTGTTTAGGTGTTTGGGTAGATTTAATTGTAAACAGTTCGTAACGACAAACAGTCATATCATTATAGAGCGGCGTTACACTAATTCATCAAAAAAAAGTTGTCAGACTTAATCACAATTCAGGAATTTCCGATAGTTTAAAATTGAAGCTTAGAAATTATAAGGACTAACAGAGAGTATCCAGAGATTAAACGTTAAAATACTAATATATCTATATCATCATGTCTCCTAGTCCCCAACCAGAGAACTCTTTTTTTAAGAATTCTTCATCTCTGTAAACGACTAGAATAACCAGTCAGTGTGACTGGTGCCATTGTTTTGATATGACAACTCCTGGATATTTTAATTAAGTTGATCCTACTCTACTCACAATCAGACAGTAGAGTAGATGATGACGCTTAGCATGTATTGTAACAAAATACGTCCTCTGACTACATATGTACAAATTTCAGAAACTTATTGTTTGTCCACTTTACTCGATTTAGCTTAAACCGTTACGTAATACAATTATTGACAAGTGAATTTGGGCTTAATTCTGCAACCCATTGATTTGTAAACCAGACCACTAAAAATTCAAAACTTTATTGTGAATTTTTATCATCACTTTTGTAATTTCGATTTTTTTTTCTAATTTTAATACAATAAACACTTAATTAACTAAATCAACTCACTTACCCACTACATTTTTTATGTACTAGACTTTGAACCTCATCTCTTTGTGTAAGAATGAATGATCCTATCTAGCTATTCAGACTGAAAAAGTAGAATGCAAACCTTTAGCCTGACGATTGAAAATCGAGTCTTGAGAATATTACCCCACTGCTCCTCAATGAACTCTAAAGTTACCAGTATTTTTTACTCAGTTTTACTGAAACCTTTCCTTATATTTTCAAATCATCATATTAATTTTTTCTACTTAATAAATAGCATTATTACCTAGTACGTTTATTTCCATTTCCATTTTAGATATTCTAGGTGATGGAAAAATAAACCCACGTGATTTTTATACTGGACCTCCATGGGCATTAGGTGTACGAAATGAATATCAACGTGTATGCTCACGACTTAACAATCCAGCTATTGTTGCATGGATGGAAGAGTTCGAACCTTCTAAATTAACAGCAGAGTATAAATTACAGAGATACTTGTTCAAGAAAGTGAACAAACGTAAAAATATCAAATTTCAACGTTATCGTGATTCACCTTAAATTGTTTTCATCAACAATTCAATAATGTTTTTTTATTTCTCTTTTGTATATGTGTATGTATGCATTTGAGTGAATCAATAAAAAATCACTTTATACTTGTTTAAATAGAATATCAATACAATTTAGTTATGGATTCCTTATACAATAAAGCCCATAGTAATGGTTATTCAAGTAATAAACCTCGAAAAGCTCATTTCTATAGACTACCTCACAATAGATGTGATTCTCTTTAATATGTTTTCACTTACCAGTGGTGATTGTTAAAATGTCTGTTAAAGTATATGGTAGTGACTTGATTTGTTACATAGTTCATGATGAATAATGCGTATGTACATAGATTATTTTCTTGTTAACAACTCGTATAATTCATTGATCTTCAGTGCTAATCGAATATTGTCAATCAGATTAACACATCAGCCATTTTTTTCAAGTTATTCAGTATAATTTTGCATTTATTATTAGACTATTTACCTATTAATCTGTACTTGCTCTGTTTACATAACTTAATCTTTCTTGTATGGAATGAGTCCCAACACTAATACTATCAAATGTAATATTCTTGAAAGTTTCTAAAGGATATGGTTTTTCAATCTTGACATGTTCATAATTCTCTACGAGATTTTTTAATCAAATCTTGTTGACAAGCTTTAGAAAGACTCAAAGGTGGTTCAGATTCATATAAGCCTATGTGAGATTTACTCTGATAAGAGTGGTATACTTTGAAGAGAGCGAAAACTAAGATTGGTTCACAATAATACAAAATCATTTTATTTCGTTAGGTTCTCATCAGCTGCTTACAACTTAAAATATTTTCAAATCCAAATTATCACGGAAACCAACACACTTATAAATACGAAAGTGACCAGAGATATGTTGCGAAGTTTTCGATAAAGTTAATAAACTCATAAAATATATTACAGATGTATAAAGTGTGAGAGGGAAAATTCCAGAATATCGAACTAGTGACTAGAAATCAAAGAGTTAGTGAACTTGAGATGGCTGTGTAATGAAGTGACTGAGGTCAGATTAATAAAGAATATCGTGAGTCGAAATCATTAAATTAAAATTCTGAATTCAAGAGAAACAAAACTGATGTAATCAAAGCACGAAAAAGAGTTCAAATAAGGGATGATGTATTAGAATAGATGTTAAGTCACTAGGGTAAGGAAAGATGTATATTACCGTTACTTTTTAAACACGTAAATCCAGTTTCAGATGTTCGATGACTACAACTTTAGCAAATTTTAGAAGATGGGGCTAGATTGTTTATTAATCACCTTGAAAGAAGACATTGTATCCTCATGATGTCTCAAGATCGCACTGCTGAATGCTTATAGTTCATTTGACCGTGGGTTTTTTGGAAAATGTTCTCTAAGTCGGATGTAACATATTTTTATGAACTTATTAATTTTATTGAAAGCTTCACAACATCATGATACATCTTTCTAATCACCCTCATATTTATGAGTAATGCAGTTTCCATGATAATTTTGATTTGAAAATATTTTACGTTATAAGCAGCTGATTAAAACCTAACGAAATACAATGAATTTATATTATTCTGAACCGATTTCTGTTTTTTCTGTCTTTAAAATAATAAAGGAAATCATGTATGTGAAAAGACTGGTTTGGTCTTTGAGTTTACCAGCGATACGAACATTGGAACTGTGATGCAAGACTATCATCAACAGCTTACCATCAAAAGTGAATGCAAATACAGGCTTCTTTAATGTTTTATAAGTTAGAGGCATCTTGCGTATCATTGATGTCAGTACTAAAATTATACACTGATTAAAAACAAATTGTAATTTATGAGAAGCTGTAGAAATTGAAGTCCGTTATTTAACTAGCTAATATCAACGTCTCACTGGAAACTCAATTTGTCCTCACCTGTGACTCGATATAGAATATGTCTACTTGAATCACTTCTAAATTAGCTTAGTTGCGAAGCTCATAAGGGTGATAGTGAAACTCATTATTCATTGTTAGTGAACTGGAATCCTCCTACATGTGTGTAAGGATAATGGAAAATATAGTTTCCTGTGATAAACATGGATATTTTTAACTGAATTAAATAGTCAGATGAACTTTATTTAGAGACAAAGTTATTATGGCTTGATATATCACAAAATAATACAAATTATCATTTCTCTAGGTTTGTAATCATCATCTAGACAAAAATTTAGAAAATAATTTTATCGCGATCTAATCCGTCTGTTGTAACGCTTGTTTAAATAATTCCCGGCTAAATCCTGTTGCTTAGTATTCTCTGACCACAATACATTGGACAAGTTCCCAAGAATCAAAACACGGTTGAACAGGAAAAGATTATATTCCAAATAGCAAGGTTAGACGGAAATAAGCAGCCAAAGGTGATGGCGAAGGCGAAAGTAGATACAACGTTAGTTTCTTTATAGCATTTACATGAGAAGCTTCTGGATAGAAATTCACGTGATCGACTGGATTAGATTTAACCAGTCAGCATGCAGCTAACAGTACGAGAATTTTCTACCCTGTTCGCCAAGAATCGATCAGACGCTGATTTGATGGGAAATTAACCAATCAGCGCGCAGCTGACGCAATCATGCTTTATTCCATCTATGCCCCCTTAACCCCGTCGTTTAACTCATTTACTTACGCCTGTTACCCCAAATGGAGCATAGGCCGCCGACCACTTATTCTCCAACCTACTCTGTTCTGGGCTTCCCTTTCCGATTCCGTCCAACTTTTGTTCATTTTTCTCATGTCTTTCTCTATTTCTCTTGTTCCTTGGCCTTCCTCTTTTCATTTTACCTTGAGGGTTTGTCTTGCGACGCAGTTTGGTGCTTCCCCTCGATGTGTGTCCTGTCCACTTTCAGCGCTTCTTCATGATTTTCTCCTCCACTGGGATCTGGTTGTTAATGATAGTGTCTGGCCAACGAATCCGAAGTATTTTGCGTAGACAACTGTTCATAAATATTTGTATCTTCCAGATGATGGCTTTGGTAGTTCTCCAAGTTTCCGCTCCATACAGTAGAACTGTCTTGACATTTGTGTTGGAAATTCTGACTTTGGTATTGGTTGATAGTTGTTTTGAGTTCTTCAACTGTAGAAATGCTGCCGTTGCTTTGCCGATCAGTGCCTTCACATTTGCATCAAATCCATCTTACTGGTCAATGATGCTGACCAGATATGTAATGGGTTTTACGTCCTCCAGGGAATCTCCGTCAAGAGTGATTTGGTTGGCGCATGTTGTGTTGTATCGCAGAATCTTGCTTTCCCCTTTATGTATGTTGAGACCTACTGCTGCTGAGGTTGCTGCTACAGTGATCGTCATCTCTTTCGTTTGTTGTCGCGTGTGCGATAGAAGAACCAGATCATCTGCGAAGTCTAGATCGTCCAGTTGTACCCAAGCTGTTCACTCTATCCCGTCCTCCCCTCCAGATGTCGACGTCTTCATAATCCAGTCGATTACCAGGAAAAAGAGAATTGCGTATAATGTTGACTATCTTCTCAGACTTGCCGTAGTGTCGAAGAAGCCTCCATAGTGTTGTCCTGTCCACACTATCAAATGCTTTCTCGTAGTCAATGAAGTTGATGTAGAGTGGTGAGTTCCATTCAATTGATTGTTATACAATGATCCGTAATGTTGCAGTTTGGTCAGTACACGATCAATCTTTTCGAAATCCAGCCTGTTGATCTCGAAGTTGGGCGTCTACGAAGTCCTTCATTCTGTTTAGCAGTAGCCTGTTGAAGACTTTGCCTGGTATTGAGACAAGAGTGATGCCTCTGTAGTTCTCCCACTTGCTGAGATCTCCCTTCTACGGTATTTTGATCAGGTGTCCTTGTTTTCAGTATGCTGGTACTTGTTCTTCATCCCGAATCTTGTTGAAGAGAATGTGGAGTATTTTTGCAGTTGTTGCCACGTCTGCTTTCATTACTTCTGCCGGAATGTTATCTGGTCCTGCTTATTTGCCGCTCTTGATTTGTCTGATGGCCATACTGATCTCTTCCATTGTCGGTGGCCCAACATCGATTGAGAGGTCTGTGGATTCTGCCTCGATGTTGGGTGAGTTCAGGGGGCTGGTCGATTCAACGGTTCCTTAAAGTGCTCTACCCAATTGTTTCGTTGTTCTTCAATGATGCTGATTACTTTACCTTCCTTGCTTCTCACTGATAATATACTCGTCAATTGATATGCTTGAAACTATTACGAGTTCACCTTGGTAACGAGAGCGAAGACAAACGATGCAGTGACGCGATAGGGTATTCTAACCCAATGTCCCCTGCCCGGCTAATTATATCAAGAAATCTTGGTATAGCGTAGGTGTATTCTAAAAGCAACCGGAAAGTCAGAGGTCTACAAGCACACAAATCGAGTTTATTTATACATGATAGAAACGTCCTTGGGAGAGCCAAAAAATAGCGTACTATAATAATACAACAACCAGTGACAGTCAAGGATTTTCTGGGTAGCTTATGCGTGAAAACACAAAAATCCGAAATTAAAACCTTTTCCAAGTGAGTTCTGGGGATCTAACGGCCCCGACACTGGTAGTTCTGGTTTACGATAGTTCCCAGCGAGCTTCTTCGTTGTATCGTACAATTGTCTCATGTTTCCTTCTCTTTCAGCCTTTCCCGCCGACATTGATAGTTCTTCCACATATTTAAGTCTATAGGCTTTGATGCTTCTCTTCACTTGTTTGTTAGTTTATGTGTATTCATCTCGCGCTTTGGTTTTCTCTGCTCTCGTTCGGCTGACATTGATTGCTGCCTTCTTGTTCCTCCTTTCTTCAATTTTTTTTCCAATAGTACCAACAGAAATCCATTCCTTGTGACGGTACTTCCTATGGTCCCGAACCTCCTGACATGTTGGAGTGAATACCTTCTTGATCCTTTTCTGATCGTTCTTCATGATTGTTTCCTCTCCACTGAGTATGTCGTGCAAAGCCTGGAACCTATTGCTGAAGTCTGTCTTGAATTCTTTGAGTTTTACGGTATCCTGAAGAAACTCCGTACTAAACTTTTGTGATGTTGTTCGCCATGTTGTCCAGTAGTTCTTGAGTTTCAGTTTCATCTTGGCGACCAGCAAGTGGTGATCTGAGACCATATCATTTCCTCTCTTGGTTATCGCATCCTCCATGGTCCTTCTGAACTTTTCATCGATAGATATATGGTTGATTTGGTTTTGAGTAGTGTGGTCTGGTGAAATCCATGTGGCTTTATGTATGCGCTTGTGTGGGAATATTGTGCTGCTCATGACCAGTTTGTTGAAGGCACATGGGTTTGCGAATCTCCCACTGTTTTCGTTCCTCTCTCCCAGTCCATGTCGTCCCATGATGTCTTCATATCCAGTGCTGTCCATGCCAACCGTGGCATTTAGGTCTCCTATCAGAATCGTCAAATCATTCGGTGAGCATCTGTCGACAATTGACTGCAGCCTTTCGTCGCATTGATATTTAACGTCTTTATTGTAGTCATTGGTAGGGGCATAGTACTGAGTGACTTTTATTGTAATGTCCTCTTTCCTTGTTTTGAAGGATGTTTTGATGATTAACCCAGGTCCATGAGATTCCCATCCTGCTTGTTTGGATAACATCAGTGCAACTTCTTGTGTATATTGGGCATTTTCTTCTTCATGGCTGGAGTATAACAGCAGTTTCCCTGAAGCTAGTCTCAGTTGTCCCACCTTTGTCAAATGCGTTTCGCTGATTCCAAGCACTTCCAGGTTGTATTTTCTCATTTCTGCAGCAACTTAGAATAGTCTCCTGGTCTCCCACAATGTTCGAACATTCCATTTACCTAAAAGAATGGTTGCTCTGGTTGTCATAAGGGGCATTAGCCTCGTGACTTCCGAGGGAACTCAGCTTTCATCATAATTCTTCTTTCAACTCCCAGGGCAGAGTTAAAATGGCTTGAATTATGTTTTTTGGTTGGCGTTTTTTTAGCGAGTTAGTTTTTTTGGTGAGATTGGGTCGCTCGTTTGTTGTTTAACTACTCTATCTTATCTTTTATAATGCACACCTTTAAAAATATCATATGGTTCTTCAGTGATCACTTTCAATTTATCATTCCTGTAAGTTTACTGGATTTAAGCAAATGTACCATACAGTCTATCGAACTTTTTAATTCTGTATTCGTTTAAATGTAATGTCGTTTAGAAAAAGGTTTTCTGACAACAAATCATAGTCAAACAATTTTTTTAACGTGCATTTACTATATGCAATATTATTTATAACACTGAGACATGTTTCGCACCTGAAGAAAACCAATCACATTTTCATTTACCTTGTTAGATGAAATTCAGGTTAGTCATTTAGTGACCTTGAGATATTAGGGAAGCACTAGACGAAGGGGTTAGGAATTCTTACTAATGAATCTATACCTGCCTACCTGATCTTTTCCTCTGCTTGTGATCTGTGTTATTAAAGGAATAATAACACATATTTTCGTCTACCCAATCCTATATTCATTTCGGTAGTGGGTGACGAAACACCAAGTTCATGTTTTATATACATATATATATATATATATATATATATATATATATATGTGTATATGTATATACATGTAGCATTAACTGTTTATACATGTATACAATCAATTCAGACCACAGATAGTTCTTCTGTAAAAATCATCTCCACACAATTGTACCATGTCGAATATAAAATTTTGTTTGTCTAATAATGTGTATTTATGTATATTTGTGTTATCCTAATATATTGATTGGGCTAAAGAACATAATCGAAAAAAGATGAAAAGGTTTTAATATCATTCATAAGTATAAAATATTTTTTGGGAATTTTCTATTGTAAAAGATTCCTATGAGTTTAACTTGTAATATTCGTAATTTAGCTGGTCAAGTTAAGAATAAATTAGTTGGTGAACGTAGACGATCATCAAGTTCACATGAATCAAATACTTCTGAAGAAACTGCTAGTAAACATCGTAGACATATTAGCATTCAGTCGGAGCAACAACAAAAACAACAACAACAAAATCGAACAGCCACAACAATCACAACAGTATCATCACAAAAACAAAGAACACATCAACAAAACACTACACTACACACCAATAATGATAATAATAATACTAATAGTAATATAACTAACAGATCAGTGCAACTAGAATCGAATAATGCGACTGATAAACAATTACATAAACCACAATGTCAATTAGTAAAATCAACTTGTCATTGTCAAGTTAGTTGTACAAGTTCAAATCAAACAAATTGTACCATATCAAATAATAATAACAATAGTACTAATAACATCCAATCTACATCTCATTTATCATGTATGCATAAAACACAAAATCTACCGACTCAGAAACTATGTAAACAAATCAATCCTACTATGCTTATTCCATCGACTATTTTACGTGAACAATTACAAAATAATTATTCAGAAAATGAGTTGGATAGTAATAATAATAATAGTAATAATAACACAACACAACATCATCTTTGCAGTCAAAATCCTCGATGTCATCAACAGCATCATTCTAAACAGCGTGTAGTATGTGTTTCAAGTAGTGAACAACATTCAAAGCATGATATAAATCGGTATGCAGATATTAATCTTTTTAAATTATCCAATAATATGTTTACGTTAAATATGTGTTGTTCATCATTAAAATTTATATGTATTTAACAATGTTGTTTTGTTTTGAGGGTTAGTTGATAAAAAAACTCCAAGTTTCAAATTGAATTTATGGTCAGGGTACTTTTGAAGAATAGCAACATAATATTATTTCACGAAGTTTCTTTTTCATAAAAAGTCAATGTTAGTCAAATAATTAGTTGACTCTATTCACAACTAACATGTTCTGATAAGTCAACTTGCGATACCATTCACTACCAATAATCATGTGCTAATAATCACCAGAATGGTATTGAATATGAGAATCATTTATTCAAAGGTTAAATAAATGCTTCCTCATGATGATGATATATATATATATATATATATATATATATATATATATATGAGATACAACTATAAATTGCCAGAGTTTATCAATTGACTTTTATGTGGAAGCAGTATTAAGGTCTAATGAAGCTTAAATAAAAACTTAGTTTCTCTGAAACTACTGGGGACGTTAAATCCCCAGAACTTATTTAGAAAAGGTCCTAATTTTGTAATTTATTTCTGAAACTTTTAATTTCTATGTTTTTACGCCAGGAACGCTAAGTTGACCTATAGCTTACATTTGCCACTCGGGAATCCTTGACTGTCATTGGTTGATGGACTTTTTAGGAAGCTATTTTGTGGCTCTACCAATGACGTTTCTATCATTGCATAAATAAGTTCGACTACTGTGCTTAGTAGCCTCGTATTTTCTGAGTGCTTGTAGAATACATTCTCTACTTTTTATCGAGACTTCTTGCTTTTGTTAGCAGGGAATATGCAAATGATTTAATTATCGTTTGTTCTAAGTAATTATTTGGCTGATATTTATTTGTAATTGAATATAACGTAAAATGATGAATGAAAACAAATTATTGAAGAATTTTGAAAGGACAAAAGTGAAATTATATCCACCAACTCTCTTTTAGGCAATCATCTCATTAGTGTCATAGTGGAATCATGATACTAGATTGCTTGTTGTTTGTACTTAAAAACCACAGTACTAGATTAGAGCACTGATAGGTCAAAAGTTTTCTAATCTCTCTCTGACTTCCGTTTTCTCCCAACTGTTTTCATTTTAGTTTAAACAAATGCTTTGACGAAACTGTGAGATATTTTAATATAACTGTTAGTGATATTCGAAGCAAGCCACCAAATCGCATTAGGGTAGGAAACGGCTGGGTATACGAAACACATATTTTAACAATTTTACCTGATAACTGCTGACAAACTCACTACAAAACTTATCACTCTTACCAAATACTGTCTGCTCAACGTTAGTGTTATTCAGTTAACTGTTCTACTATACGTGGGTACTGCATCAAAAATAGATATAGTCGGATCCTTCCAAGCTTTTAAAGGATATATTTCACAAGAGAGAGAAATGTTATTCAACGTACCAACTTCTTTACTTTCTCAATTTCACTGTTTCAAATATTAGTTTTAATAGTGAAGATTTGGTGTTTTAATATTAATAGTGTCTATTGTCTGACAGAAACTCTGGTAAAATAACACATGATTGGTGGCAACCAACATATTGGCATAAAATGTATCACTTACGAATAGTATGCTAGTTAGTTAGTTAATCTTGAGCACTTTCTGTTCTTTCAGATTTTTTGTATACTACATCTTTATTGCGTATATGTTTTCCTATGCAGTAATGAATCGCAACAAAACATTAAAGTCTCACCCAAATCTTCTCATATCAATAATCAAGCATGTGACCAGCATAAAGTAACTACTGGCAAAGAAAATACAAACAACCCGACCATTGCTATTAGTACTGTGGCATCAACTTCTAATCATAATCATAAAATGTTTAGTTCTCATCAAAATTCTGACATGAATTTATATCGAGCCACCACTGATTATCCATTAATCAATAAATGTCAACAACCACAACAACACGGGTCGACATATTTCATTCCAATAGTACCAGATCTATCTATTCCACAGGATGAAACACGTTCAGGTAGTTTAGGCAGTGCATATCCTACTCATTGTATGCCTTATCATTTTGGACATAGTAAATATGCTTTATTTCATGGACACAATCATCATCATCATCATCATCACCAACATCAACATCAACATCAACTACTTCATCGTCATTCTCATAAACATAATCATGTTAATATTAATATCATTGAAAATAATAATAACAATAATATAAAATCTATTCATAGCAATGAATATAATCCAAGATTAACCATGAGCTATTCGGAACTATTAAATTCATTAGTACCACAACATTGTCAAAGTCAATTTAAATTATGTGGAGTTGATGTCAGCAATAATAATAATAATAATAATAATAATAATAATAATAGTAATGCTACTGAAGTTGCTAATAATGTTACCAATGAAAGATTAGATCATTTAACTAAATCGCAAACTATAAATTCCAACCCTTCGAATAATCCATGTCAGAGAACATTGAATATCAGTCAACAATTTGATATTGATCATAATCAAATTAATACTAATAATAATAATAATAACGAGAATAATAATAATAGTAATAATAATAACACCGATGATATTTCATGTAATCCACAAGTAGTATTAATAAATAATACTGAAATTACTGACACTGATGATATAAGTCAATCGAATTCTTTGCCAATACCAATACAACCAATCATAAAACATAATCCAATATCATTAATAAAAGAACAAATTATCAATCAAATAGAATTGAATCCACCTGTTCTACCTACACGTACAAGTTCATTAATTATGAATAATAAAAAATGTCCATCTAATCGAATCAATAAAACAACGAACATAAATTTGCCATCAATTTTAACACCTTGTCCTTCTTCTTCTCCTCCATCAGCATCATCACCGTCATCATCATCCAATAATCATCATAATCAAAATTATTTTATGCAAAAAAGTATGATTGATTATTCGAACAATTTTGATTTGAATTATACGACACATTTTACTATGAATAATTTAAGTCAATCACAACATTTAAATTTAACACAAACTAATCATTTACATCATAATCCTAATAAATTGTCATCAAAACGTAGCATAACCAATGATCGATGCTATGAAAATACATCTGGTTCAATGACAGTCAATGGATCCATTGAAACATTATCCAGTAATGAATTAATGATTAAATCCTATTCACAACAATCACCATTACCATCTCATCATGATGAATTATTATTATTATCATCATCATCATCATCAATGCTACGACCAACAACCTCTTCATCTTCATCCTCTCCAGATGGTCATCATCGTAATGACCCAATCAATACGCATCAATCCATTGAACGATCATCAACTATCACGTTAACAACTGATTCATCAAATGAGAAACAAGTAAATTCTGCAAATCACTCACAAACTACTTGTAATAAATCATTGATTTCTGATCATATTCCATTAAGTCCATCCTGTGGTGCATTAGAACAATTTATGCCAACAAATCATGCTTCTCGACTATTAGGTCGTATGTCTGATAAACTACGTGATGGTCGATTAGCTGATGTGATTTTAATTGCTGGTGGAAAATTCAATGCCAATAATAATAATAATAATAATAATAATTCAACCACATCAACCAATACAAAATGTTCAAATGTAAGTATGGTGGATTCAATGTTGGCATTAAATAACACTGATAAATCTGATTTAACTAATGATGAATTCATTATTCGCATACCTGCACATCGTGTTATATTAGCAGCAGCAAGTGATTATTTCGCTGCAATGTTTGGTAATGAATTAAAAGAAGCTACGGAACAAGAAATATGGATTCATGATGTTGAACCGAATGCATTGAAAACATTGATCAATTATATTTATACAGGTAAACAAATATTTTCTTGTCAATAATAATGATAATAATAATCTATCTATAACTAAAGACTGAAAAATAGCATTTTTTTTCTTATGAAGTTATGGAGATTGTTGAGTTATATTGAAATAATGAATCGATGATTGTTAGATGTGCACTGCTGATGCGTCCTAGACTAGAACGAAACGGCCGTTCAGCGCTTCCACGTTTCTAATAGTCTCACAATGATCGATTCATTATTTCAATAAGATTTTCACTATATTTTAATTGATGAAGATGCAATGATTGTTGTGATGATTGAGAAATTTCCTTATATAGTGATTACCTAAGCACTTAGTTTCTTTTTGAATTCATTCAGTCTTCATTTGTTACGACAAAAGAAACTCATATGACTGAATAAATCATATGATTGATTCATTAGACTGAATTGTACTGTGTGGGCAATCGACAATTGCTCCAGTCACCCCCATTCATCAACTATGAAAAAATATTCAAAGAAAAAATAATTAGCCAGAAAAAAGAGAAATACTTATTCAGACAACACATGATTAAAACGCATTGAAACTGATAATGAATGTAAGATTTTAATTTTTTTTTTAAGTTCATATATCAACCACTGAAAGTGAAACCTATCTGTAAGAATCAAATCTTGAGTATCTTACCATCTTCAGATTATTATATAAGACATTATATGTCATATCAACGTATATTTTATTACCTCTAAACTGATTCGACCAAATTTATATGTTCCTACTGGAAAATGGAGACTATATATTCCAACCAGTTTCGACGCCCAAAGAAAGTCGATCTTTACGAAGGTTTTAGATTTACTGCTACAATAGATCACAGTTGTGCACTACTAAACAGTACTGATGATGGGATAGAGAATCTGTTCATTCCTCTAAACTCTCTCTCTCTTTCTCTCTCTCTCTCTCTCTCTCTCTCTCTCTCTATATATATATATATATATATATATATATATATATATATATATATATATATATATAGTTTGTTTAATCAGTCTGTTTTGTAGACACCTAGTCACTGTTTATCTTAACCAAAGAGAAAAAAAAATTATTCCAACCATTATTTTATTTACATGTTCAGAAAATAATTTATGCCTTTATGATTGATTTTTCTTTTAAATACAAACAACATTCCATAATTTCTTGTTTATTTACTTCACGTATTTTATTTTTAAATATTAGTCATCGTTTTGTTCCAAAAAACAAGGGAAGAAGAAGTCATATATCTGTGACACACCAGTAGGAAAACTCTGCTATATGCAAAATGGATATTCAAGCACCAAGAGACTATTTAGCAGTTAAAAATGCATTTTTCCCGTCTATTTTCTAAACCCAACTCTCTTCATAAAATTGAAGGATGTTCTATTACAATCATGATTAACTGATAGCTACTTTCAGTCATAACAGACCTGAACAAGTTCTATTCAGATGATACATTTTCACTGAAGAATAAATATTCCCCTAGCTGTAATATTATACAAAATTTGTATTTTGGTTTGCATAAATGAATTCGAAATCATCAATCAATCATTGTTAAACCACCATTAGAAACCTGGAAGCACTGGACGGCCGTTTCGTCCTGGTATGGGACTCATCAGCAGTGCGCATCCACGACTACTGCACATCGAAGGATTCGAACCCGGTACCTTCGGTATTGTGTGCGAACGCTGATCAATCAGAGTTAGACATTAACACCGTTGGATGCCGGCCCGGTGGTCCGTTGGTTAGGTGTACGCGCGCAAGACTGAAGGTCCCAGGTTCGAATACTGCAAGGTGCAGGAGTCGTGGATGCGCACTTCTGGGGAGTCCCATACCAGGACAAAAACGGCCGTCCAGTTCTTCCAGGCTTCTAACGGTGGTCTAAAAATAGTTGATTGGTGATTTCAAATGTGTAAAAACACAAACCTCCAAAACTCTGCCAAAAAATACATGAATTCGAATTAACCTACATTTATTTCTGCATAACTGTACCAAATAGGAAAATACATTTCAATCATTGTAATCTCTGTGAATATGTAAGAAAAGGCAGTAAGTATAATAATTCAATAGTTAAGAAATAAGTGGCTAAAATACACGTATAAGGCAGACCTATTTAACTTTTTTTCTGTGTATATTCCTTAATTTTAAATTATTTTCAAAAAAAAAAGTAATCAATGTGAAATTATCTATCTTACTACTTAATTTTCAAAAGCTAGGAAGGTTCAGTACACAAAGGTAAGTGAACTGAAGTGTGTTTTAATTAAAGATCAAATTAAAGTGTAATTGTATGGCTTCAAAATGTACACCAATTTTTTTTTTATGAATTTAAATAAAATAAAGTCACCACATTCAAACAAACAAACAAACTGATAATAGTTCCTGTATATGTGCATAAATATCAATGTAATAAAAAAACTGGTTTCTTAAAAGAAGACTAAACTAATACTAATCTTATCTATAATAAGTCATTACTAAAAATCTCATAAATAGTGTATTTGTTAAGTGCATAATAGAATATATATTTTAAGAAACATTAAGTGTATTTTGTTTATTTTTTAAAAGGAAATAAAACTAAAGACGTTGAGGGACAATTGATCATATGACGATTTATTTTTACTATCAATGTATTATCTAAGCGTATGACAGCTTTATTTTTGTTCAAGTCAAGTTTGATGAATAAATGTTACTTCGTCATAATGATTCTTACGCCTTTTTATAATAGCTATCCATGAGACAAGTGGTTAGATATTCCTTAAAATAAGAGTAGATGTTTAATTCATTTTATTTCATCACATAAGGTAGGGAAACTCCGAGTTGAAAATCGATTTCACTGATAAATTCTTGTATTCATTCATGAAACAAGGATAAAACCATGTGAATAGAGCTAAAGTTATAAGTTTCACAAAATAAATTAAAATTGTGTTTAAATCATTTAATATATTTGATATTTTTGATAGTTATCACAATTAAAATATTAACAATGAATATTCATCTATAAAATTAACTCACAAGTGGATTGTTCAAAGTTCTGGTCGGAGGCCGTAGCCTATAGCATCAACTTAGTTGAAAGTGAGATAATTATCACTAATGGCACTTGATATTCAATACTGAACGACATATATCGACTGAAGTTCAACATCTGTACTATGATTGAGTGGCTCAGTAGTATTGTGCTCATTTTAAACACAATTTTAATATAGAATTATGAATGCGTATGAGTGAAGCAGTAAAAGTTAGAACAATACTGTCGTTTAGTGCTCATTCAAATGAAATGACTTCATTATGAACATGTTCTTCAAAATATCTTGCCTAGTCCTACGTAATCTTTATTCAAATTCTTTTTATTTTTAGTTCACAGCAAATAAGTTTAATGGTTTTTTTGTGAACTTTTGATTTTTTTTTAGGTTATCTAGATTTACGTGAAGAAACTGTAGGCGATTTGCTGGCGGCAGCTTGTTTTCTACAAATCACTGAAGCATCAGAAGCATGTGAACGATTTTTAACTGAACATTTAGATGCAACAAATTGTTTAAGTATGTCACGTTTAAGTGAACAATATGGATGTGAATTATTGAGAAAATGTTCTACAAAATTTGTACTAGTAAGTTATTTATGTTATTTAGAAATAAATTTTTAATCTGATTGAACAAAAACACTTATTTTCAGTAATTTTGACCTCGGAGGGTAAATTCCAACGTCTACCGTAAAAGATATGGTTGGGATTTATTCAAAAGCAAAATAGTTTTAACTTTTTTCTGACGTTCTGTAATCTAATAATGTCTTTAAGTCACCTCTTATATAAATACTTTGAATTACAGTGTTGTTCAGTGATTTAAACCTCTAGCCTTTCAACCACTTGTTCTACCTGCCGATAGTTGAATGGTCTAAATGCCAAATTTTAAAATGTTCTATAATTCCATTTGTATTTTTCTCATTTATATCTACAGAGATATTTAAGTGTATTGATATGATAAAGGATATGTCATGATATTTAATGACTGAAAAATTTCATCACCGATTTTATGAAAATCAATTCTTATTCTTTCCTTATTATTTGTACTTTAAGAAGGCCACTGTAAACATTTGATGAAATGTCCCAATAAATTTTAATTCAATTACTTTTTTGACAGTGAATCCATATGTACAATTTCAATAGGCAGCTTATTTTACTGAGATTAAAAGAATTTGTTTTCAAAATATAAATTATCAGTTCAAAAGGTAACATGTTACAAGAGGAACTTAAAAATGTTATTTTTTTAAACTAATATTATACAGATTACAAATAGCTTCTCTTAAATATACTTTTACTGAATTGAAGCATTCGTTCAGTATTCTTTGAATTTTGAAAATTGCTTAAAGATATTATTTTTATAGCAAAAACTACTAATGATTTTATTAGGGAGTTTAAGTTCAATTAATCTGAGAAATATTTGAGTAAATATTTGTATTTTGTAAACAGTGGTTGATTAAAGAACCTCTAGATCAGTATGAATACACTTTTATAACTTAAACTATTAACATAGAATATCTAGAGTACATAAAAAAGATGGAAACTTCAGAAGTAAACTATTCAAGTCACAGAACACAGAACCTCCGAAATGCTCCTTATGAGCTAAAAACATTAAGTGAATACAATATTGACATCTATTTGACAACTCGTTCAAATACTGTGTATAGCTACTCAAAGGATGTTTTTAGTTACATCCTAGTGTTGTGTCTAAAGATAAAGTAATGATTAGCTGTTACATAAAGTCAGATTAGGCTTAATAATATTGCAAGTTCATCTTTTTCATCCCATACTTAAAAACATGTAGTTGCTTAATTCTTTAACCTAAAAGAAAGTGAAAAATATAAAGTGTTTAATTCATTAGGGATACTACCCCTAACTCAGGTCTTTTTTGGTCGAAAAATGAAAATTTCGGTATTGCGAAAAAAATCATCACCCAACATGAGACAAAGGGTAATAAGAGTGTTTGAGCCGATTTGTGATAAGCTGGGCTGCATCTCTTGCTATCTTATGCCATACTATGTGTATACCATATGCTATACTGCTATGTAGAGCTGAAGGTTTCTTATTAGACCAGAGGTTCCCTCTGAACATTTTGGATGGCTTGGCATTGCTTTGGCAAGTATTTCCAACAGTCTAAATACAAAATTGGTTAGCAGGGTAACCGATTTCACTGATACTGGTGGTTGTTAGGCAATATTAACGAGGGCCATTGTCATTGCAGTTCTATATTGCATATCATTATTGCTAATAATAGTGAGTTTGACAGTCATGTAAGCGGGATAGGTCGAAATAGCCTGTTCATGCGGTGCATAATGTTTGACACGATCATGGATCGGGAATAATCATTATATATGTACTAGTGTATATAAATGATGTGAATAGTCTATCAGGGTTTCAGGTATCTGTGTAGTTGCACCATGGAATTGAGCAGAACTGTTCATGCCGAAACGCTAACACGTGAGCAGTCTCCGTGGTTCTCCCCAAAACCAGTGTAAGATAGCTCTTGATAATAGAGGGTTAATTTATATAATTGTGTTTAATTCATTGATTAAGTGTATGATCCTAGATTTATTTATCTCGGTATAGGTAACTTGAGGTTGCTTTTTTGCAATATTATTATATCGATATTGAAGTAAGTAGACAACTGTGTTAGCCTAAGTAGTCGACTAAATATCAAATACATTATTCTTTGCAGAGACTTATGAGATCTGCTGAAACTACACTGAGCACTGAGCATAAATATTTTTACTGTTTAAAAATCATGAGCATATTACTTTCATTCCATATAATAAATTTAATAAGCTTAAAATATACATGAGATGTATTTGACATATTTCAGCAATGCACAAATTGCTTAATAGTACAGTTGTGAAATCAATTTGTTACGCTTAAATGATATAGTTTTTATGCTAGTGATAATTCGTGTACACGTTTATATGACTCCATTATTTCCTTCTTTGATCTAAATTATACACTGAAGCCCAAACGATGGTAACTGTGTATGCTTTTGTAAATTTGTAAAAACATTTTTTAATTCTCAATTTCCGACCCTAAATAGCTTTAACAATATCATAGTAAATGCAAACTACTCATTAGTAAGTAAATACATAAATCATGATCATGTTCAACTCGATCAATAGAAAACTGGCAACTTTTAAAACTATACTAAATACACTTCGTTTGATGTTAAGATCACTTGATAGAGGTATCCATCTGGAATATAATTTAAAATGCTGATGAATACCTGGTTATCGAATAAAATTTTAGAGATTCTATTTTGGTTCGTTTAGAAGCTCTTAAATTTTCACTATTGAGGGATTTATTCGTCTTCTTTTTAAAGTAAATTTGTCCTATTATGAAATTCAACTATTGAGTCTTTTTCATAATCGATGCTTTTTTATTTATCAAAAATAAAACTATAGGAACACTTTTCAGATGTTGCTCAACAACCTGATTTTCTAAATCTGAGTTTTAAAGAACTCGTGGCATTAGTTTCATCTGATCGTTTAAAAGTATCCAATGAAGCTACAGTCTTTGCTGCATGTTTACGATGGATCAGAAATGCTAAACAGAAGGAATGCAAGACAGAAACTTATGGAAGCGAACCATTATTGGTTAGCTTACTAAAGCATATACGATTGACGCAACTACCTCCACGGCTTTTGATTGGTTAGTTGAAAATAGTGATTATTCATCTTTTATTATTCCAAGTTTATTTTGATAATGTTCCTTTTTGTTGTAAGAGTAGATAACGGGTAATTATTAGTTACGCTAGTCATTTTATGTAGACTTGCAGAAATTGGAAATAATCATAATGTAAAAAGCAATTCAATAGCTAATAAAGTCCATAGATTTGATAATGAAAATCTTTGAGACTTTCACCGCAAAATATATTAGCAACATGTTGGTGAGTTGAAGAAATATTGTATGAAACCCTGAACTTGGAGTTTTGGCTAGTTTTTGCTCACCACTAGGGTGTACTTCCAAAATGTTTAGGGGACTGATTGCTCCTGTATGACTGAAACCTGCTTCACTCAGAGTTTAAGTCTGAGATGTTCAGCCAGTCAGTCAGTCACTTACGACGTAGAACTTCGTAAGTACGTACATAGGTTTCTATTGCCATACCACATTAGCACAGACACGCAATTGTCCGTTCAAATCCCAAACTCGTAGGGATTAGTAGAAATATTAGCTGTAATCGAGTAGATTAGGGTTCAAAAAATTATTAAAGAAGTATAACTCAGTAAGATAAACTTAAAAAGACAAAGATAACGGTGATGAGGAAGTCAGATTATAATTTGAGAGAACACAAAGAGTGGATGCACTTGCGCCATTGCAAACGATTTTGAGCCATGTCGTTCAAGGTCTCTAACCATCGGTTACTTTCGTCTCGCGGACCCCGATCAGCAAGTCTACATACACCGACATGACTCATTCCAGTTGCCAGTGACTTCATGGATTTGTGCCATGTTTTGGTTTGGCCTCCCCTAGCTCTCTTCGAACCTACTCATACACCACAAAACATTGCTCGTCGAGGCAGTCGGTGGTTGGGCATTCGCAACATATGTCCCAACCACCTCAACTGATGAAGTTTCAATATTTTGTTTACTGATCTGCCATCCCTACCTAGTACTCGTTTCCTAACGAGAGCATTGCTTACTCGGTTTTCCCATGGTATACGAGTAATGCTTCTAAAACATCTATGGTCGGAAGCTTTGGTTAGCAAACGGATATCTCGTCTGCGCCACCGGTGATGCAAGTTGGCAAAAGCCATTCAAGCCTTTTGAATCCGTGCATGCTCTAAGTCAGCAAGAGTGTCTCATGGTAAAAGGTCCACTCCCGAAGAGTCAGACGATCACAATGTTAACTCTAGAAGCATATCTACGACAAAGTTAAACCGGAATGGGGAGAGTGGGCAGCCCTGACGGACACCACTTGAAGTAATGGATTCCGAAGTTAGTTCGCCATAAACCTTTACACGAACAGTGGTGTTCGAGTAGAGAGCCTGTATAAGGTTAACGTACTTCTTTGGTACACCTTTCGATGACAGACTTTTCCATAGAACCTCGCGATCCACAGAGCCGAATGCCGCTTCAAGGTCAAGAAATACTACTATTTTGGGACGTTTGAACGTGTGTATTTGTTCTTAGTGTAAAAATGTGGTCTATACAGCCACGTCCAGGTCGAAAACCAGCCCGATTTTCTCTAGTCTGCTCTTGACGAGCTCTAGTTAGCGTCTAAAGATTATCGAGGCTAATATTTCAGACACTATATTAGTTAGACTGATTACCCTGTGATTGTCACAAGAGGACTTTTGTCCTTTCTTGTAAATTGGGACAGTTAGCGACTGAGATCAGTCAGATGGTATTACGCCCAATTCCCAGATTATATCTAAGATCTCAGTTAAAACTGGACCACCATCCTTGAAAATCTCAAGGGTTATTCGACTAGGCCCAGCTACTCTACTTCGCTTCAGGTTTCCTACCGCTTTCTCAACTTCATAAAGAGTTGGAGGACTTATATCGATTTGCCATTCAGGATGACTGGAGATCTTGAGCAACCTAAGTGTGACTGAAGGCCGGTTGAACTGATCCCTAACGTTTTCCGCCCAGACCATCCTTTTCTGAAATAGTTTCGCTAGCAGATGGATTTCTAATACCGGTTTCCTTGAAAAGTCGGAAAAGTTGTCTACTGTTACCCATTGCTGCTGCCTTTTCCTTCTCCATTGCTTTCGCTACTCACTATTGTTCACGGTCGTTACGTAGGCTTTTTACTAGCCTGCGCCTAAGCTGACTTCGTTCTTCATCATGTTCAGAATCAGATGGGATGCGTTTTCGAGCATCCATCAGTTCGGTAGATGCTTCTGAGACACACGGCTTCTTCCTAGCGTTATGGTTTACCTTACTAGCGGATATCACTGCTGTTTCCACAGCTTTTTGGAGATCATTCCAACCTGACTCCGGATGAGAACCGCTTACATGGTCGCCTAACTGTCTTTCTAGTTGCTCCTGAAATATATTCATAGCTCTACTATCATTAGATAGAACCCTAAGTGGTTTTCTGGCGGTGTCTTTCCTACGTCCATTAAGTCGCAAACAAATATGCGCTCGTACTAGAGCATGATCTGTATATAAACATGCGCATCAGTACGAGCGACAGTCCTCTATTGAACCTTTACATCGGTGGCTGATGGCAATGTGATCTGAGCATAGCTGCAGCAGAAGGTCGCCATTATCTGTTATTTGAGCTGCGACACCATAACATCCACCTTGGTGTCTTTCATTTTCACTTAGTCTACCTACTTAAGCATTAAAGTCACCAGCCATTATTACTACATCCGAGTGCCTAACTTTCTGGAGGAGGTCTGAAAGCCTTCTGTAAGACTCATCTTTCACATCGTCTGAACTGCAGTCAGTGGGAGCGTAGGCGGACACTACGAAGAGGCAACGACGAGTGTCCCTATCTTTCCGAGTCCTTACTGTCCAGTTCAGTTGGACGGCGCACAAACGACTATCTACTGGGATCCAGTTTAGGAGCGCTAGTTCTGCCGTACGACTCAATGCTATACCTACACCAGCGAGTTCCCGGGAAACAGCATCAGGGCTACTGGATACACGAAGAGAGTAAATCGAGCTGCTTCTTTATTTTGATAAGGTGAAATCAAATTAATGATTTTACTAGGATCCTGTATGGGTGTTTCCGAGACGAAGCGTACATCGATTGAGCGAGATTCCAAAGTTTTAGCTGAGGAAGCCTGTTGCCCTATTTGATACTATGTGCGAACATTAAATGCTCCAACGCGTAATTTTGAACGGGGTTTCAGGAGATCATGAATAATGTTTAGTGAACTCGCTTTTTTTTGATAAATACCAGTCTACTTTACTTACTATATCAATATGATATATCATATCATTCTTGTAGTCAGATTTTTTTCACTTCAGTTCCCTATTGAAAAATATATCATGTTTAACATTAGTTATATTCATTTCTATTTATCTAGATGTTTTAGAAAAAGAAACACTATTTCAAGAAGATTTTCAAGCTATTCGTTTAATCATATCTGCTCTGCGTGTACATTTCTCTTCGGAATCATTTTATTCACAAATTCATAAAACTCAAACAAGAACTAATTTAGACTGTTGCCTTAAAAATACTACATCAATAAACAATACTAATGATATTACTAGTATTAATCATAATAGTAATAATAATTTATTCAATACAAAAACGTCGTCATTAACAACGACTGATACTCAACAAAAGTCTGGAGAAACTACTAGTAATACTAGAAATGATAATAGCAGCAGCAGTAATAGCAGTAGTAGTCGAACTCACTATTATAATCGATATCATCATCATCATTCAGATCAATTGTATCCATCACCACAAATCAATAATAGAATATCTGATCATCAAGCTGTAATAAATTGTCCGGAAAATTTTAATCAAATCACTAAACCAAGACCATCAACAATTGGTCGTTTATGGGCATTAGGAGGTAAAACAATGACAACAACACGTGCATTACAAGAAATACTTGTAAGTTAATAATCTTAAAAAGAAAAACATTGCAATGGTATGCTTATTTTATATGTATAAGTGAACTGCATAAGACGCTACAGTGTTATATTTTACATGTCATATATCAATGATTAAGTAACCGATTACAGTGAAGTCTTTAAAGTATAAATTATAACTAATTAATAATCACAGAAAAGATTAGTTAGTTATAGATGTAACCTTATCAAGTAGGTTTCAAAATTATACACAGAATAAGTAAAATATACGTTCTATATCTATCTATATCTTCAAAATAGACTGAAGAATTGTTATTTTCATCGATATTATATACCATCATAATACCGTTTCTTAACAACATTTCGGCTGAATTACACATTACTTTGTGTAATATTTTATAACTATTAGTTGACCACTTTTACAGTAGTCAAATTCAAAGTGTTAGGCTAGTTAGATTAGTTTTCCAGATTTCCTGATTATTATAAATTCAATACAAAGAATATACAGAATGAAGGACAACTTATGTTCCCAACTTCGAGATTAACAGGCTGGACATCGTAGGGATCGATCGTGTACCGACCGAATCGCAACATTACAGATCATTGACTACGAGAAGGCATTTGATAGCGTATACAGGACAACACTATGGAGGCTTCTTCGACACTATAACGTGCCTGAGAAGATAATCAATGTCATGCGGAATTCTTATGATGGATTAAACTGCAAAATTGTCTACGGAGAACAGCTGACAGAATCGTCCGAAGTAAAGACAGGTGTTAAACAATGTTGCTCGCAATGCTCTCTATTTTTCTCTTTCTCCTTGTGATCGACTGGATTATAAAAACGTCAACATCTGAGGGGAAGCACAGGATACAATCGACAACTAGGACGTAGCTAAACGATCTGGACTTCACAGATGACCTGGCTCTTCTATTGCCACTCAACAACATTTGCAGGATAAGACGGACAGTGTAGAAGCAGCCTCAACAGCAGCAGGTTATAACAAACACAAGGAGAAAAACAAGAGCTTTGGATACAACATTCACCAACCGAACCGCACTTGATGGAGCACCTTTAGGGAATGTAGAAACTTTTACATACCTGGACAGCATCATTGATGAGCAAGATGGATCTGATGCATATGTAAGACGCGGATCGGCAAAGCACGGACAGCATTTCTCCAACTGAAGAACATCTGGAACTCAGAACAACCATCAACTAACACCAAACTCAGAATTTTTAATTTAAGCATGAAAACAATCTTACTGTATGAAGCAGAAATCTGAGGAACCACCATCTAAAATATAAAAGTATTTATCAACAGTTGTCTACGCAAAATACTTCGGATCCGTTGACCAGATACTATCATTAACACTATACTACGTTAGAGAACACACCAGATTCCAGTGGAGGAGTAAATCAGGAAGAAGCGCAGGAAGTGGAGTGGACACACATTGCGGAAAGCACCCAACTGCATCACAAGACAAGTCCTCACTTGGAACCTTCAAGGTTAAATGAAAAGAGGAAGGCCAAGGAACTCAATAAGTCGAGAAATGGAGACAGATATGAGAAAAATGAACAAAAATTTGACATAACTGGACAGGGACGCCTAGGACAGAGTAGGTTTGAAAATACTGGTTAGCGGCCTATGATCCATTGGGGGTAACAGGCGTTACTAAGTTATACAAAGAATGACAATTAAACGATACTTCTGGTTGTATCGAAAAGGAAAATAAATGCAAATTAATTTAAGTATCTTGATTCATTTGACTGATATCAGAATTTCATGCAGTTTGTCCTCTACATGAATTTTATTAAAGCCAAAACAATAACTGAAATGGAATATGCAAAAAAATTCTACATTTAATTGATTATGAAATAAACTTTTTTCAGAAATCCTTACATTCTTGCAATTTATATCATAAGAAAAAAGAATTTTAGGAGCCTTACATAACTACGCAATCACTAATCAGTTTATAATAAAATTCAATATTTTATTCAGCTACTGAAATTACTTGAAGCGATCAAGTATTTGGTTATGATAGCAGCATGCATCAAGTAACGAATGGGATTAACAGTTCTTTTCTTGTATCCTAACTCTGGATAAAACCAAATGGTTTTGTTAATATTGATGATAAAGATGACATTTAAATAGATTAGTGTATGTTGTAAGAATAATTACAACTGTTGACTTTTTTAAAAGTGCATCGATTCATTATTTTTATCTTCTGTAAAATCTTCTTTATAAAATACTAGTACTTAACTAAATTATGGCGCCAGAATGGAAGTAAGTAAGTTAATGACTTTAGACATATAAGATTTGCTCGTAAAGCATGATTTTAACATGAAGGAAAATCTTTGAAAAAAAAACAGTTTTTTAGATAGAAGCATAATTTTGATAATAGTCGACGAACAGCTTCAATGGTACAGACTTATCCAAAATTATAGTTTAGTAAGAATTAAAAAGTTTTAAAAATGAAAAAAACAAACAAACAGACCATCATCTTTCCAATCTTCAAAATTGAATTTACTGTTCTTCTTTTCTTTTTTTCTTTTCAAACCAATATCAGGAATATGATCCATATTGGAATACTTGGCGTACCATTGGTCAATTACCAGGTCAAAGACAACAATGTGGTTGTACTATATTAATAGATGGACGATTATTAGTTGTTGGAGGTCGAGATGAATTGAAAACTTTAAGTACTGTTGAATGTATCAATATTGAAGAATTATCTCAACCGAATGAATGTACAACAGATTATGGGAAAAAAGAAACATCGTCAAAATCTAGAACAATTAGAAATCGTCCAAGACAGAATAGTGCAGATCGCAGTGAAATTGACGCTAATCAAGTTGAATTATGCATTGAATCGTCTAACACTACTCTTACTCCTACTACAGCAACAGTAATGCTAAGATCAGAACAACAAGAACAATGTAATTCACGCAACTGCACTACATCATCGACCAATAAAGAAATACAAAGTAAAGAAGAATATGGTAGTTGGAAAATTGTTTCAGCAATGGCAACACATCGGTATGTGCAGTTGATAAATACTTTTGATTAAAACTCAAAACAAATGATCAGTAGTGTTAAACTACATAATTTAAAAATGTATCATTTTTTTTACATGAAATCTCAGTTGAATGTCAGTTTGTGGTAGATAAGTAATTCCTAATTACAGTAAACAAAAATCTAATATAGTTTAGCCTTCTTATATTTACAAGTATTTATGTTATGATCGTCACTAGGTATGCTTGGAACTATTACGGGTTCACCTTAGTCGATAAACTAGAACGAGACAATGAACCAGCGCCTAGGTAGGCTGCTCTGATCCGTTGACCCCAAACAGCTAACGAGAAGTCTTGATTTAGTCTAGAAAGTGTATTCTACAAATACCCAGTCAGCACACAAATCGCGTTTATTTATACATCATATAAACGTCCTTGGGACAGTCACAAAAATAGCACACTAAAATGACACAGCAACTAATCACAGCCAAGGATTTTCCTGGTGGGAAATGTTATCTCAAGGTCAACTGATCGACCCATGCTCGGAAACATAAAATCCAAAATTAAGGCCTTTATCAAGTGAGTTCTGGGGATCTAACGTCCCCAACAATTTATATATACAAGAATTTTTAATGTAATGGTTTTTATACTAACAAAACCTTTAATAAATATTATTAATCTGATTTTATAGCTCAACGGAATGATTTTTGATTATTTGAAAAAAAATGGCTAATGTTCTGTGTTCACTTTTAGCATGAATTCACTAAGATAACAAAATATGAGGGGAATGTTAGATAGTATTATTGGTAACTTTTTATTACACAATTTATAATAGAACAAACTTGTATCATTCAAAATACTTCTCGTTTATGGAAACGTGCTTGTTTCATCTTTTCTTTTTCACTGTTTGAAACATCCATTGATGTTCACAGAAATCATGATCTTCATTAGCATTCCGTTTCATTAACTGTTATTCAATCTCTGTTCTGTGAGTGCACCTTACTGTTTTACGTGTAAGGAAATGATCCGCTTATTCTCAGTATTTTGTCCGTCAGTATCATACTAATTCGGCTGATTAGTAGATGACTTTATTTGACAAGTGATTAGTCATTTGTTTAATTAAGTCGATAACTAAAGACTTTGATAGCCCAGTTTTAATGTTCATTGAACCGAAGAGTTTTTACCTAAGTTACGGCGTCTTCATGGGTCTTAATACATCCACGTAACATATCTTCATTGGAAACTTGTGATTTACATCTGAAATTATCCAGTGTGCTTTTCCTCAGAATTTAGCATTCATCAAATCTTTTCATAATGCTGAATTTTATGATTAGCTTTAAAATTATGGCAAGCAGATGTTAATTATCATCATCTTTTGTGTAACTCATCGGAGGTTTCAAACTTTTTAATATTGGATACAAATCACTTATTATTGTGGGGAAATTCCATCTAGATATCCAGTGTGATGACTGTTTTCATCAAAATCTAACATCAATTAACAAATCAATGAAAATGAAAAAGCACTGAACAACTAGTTCATTCAAGATTGATACTCCTCATCAGTCTGTAAAAGCGATCATGTTTAGGGATTTGAAGTTTCATGAGGGTCACAATACATTTCGGTCACTTATCAGTACACTTGAATGAGTGAGGATAGGACGCTGAGTTACAGTTAATAGCATTTTAAGATCACATTATATCAGAGATCGATTGAATTTCAAATAACAGACCGTCGGGTTTAGTCTTTATAATTTAGATATAGTTTACTCTCAAAATGATCTGTTAGATTCTAGACCTTATTCCACGTTAGGTCGGTTATGCACACTTCTCAGAAGTGGTTAACTAAGTTTCATTTTATCCATACAAATAATATGCATACTATTTTCAGCGGTGTCAAAGAATAAGTCTTTAGTTCTAGTTTTTAAAAAATATTTATTGATTTGTTTTTTAGAATATTCCTTATATATATGTACATGTTATATTGTTTAAGAAATGGATTTATCAGTGGCGTATTTCTTCTTTACTTTATATGAAGAGTTTATAATTATGATTTACTAATATTTAACAATATAATATTTGACGTATATCATGAAAATTATAAATCTGTCATTATTTCATGATATTACTCTAATTGTTAGATGAGTAGTCTAGTAAATGAACTGTATAAATTGACTGTTATATTGTTGGTATTTCTTAACATTTGTAAGTAATTCAAGATTTTTTATTATAGTTGAATAAGCTGCGTTGAAATCATGAATCACTCAATGTTAGAACACTATAAAAAACCTGGATGTGCACTGATGATGAGTTCCGTCCATACCAGGATGAAACGGCCGTCCAACACTTGCTCGTTTCTAATGATGGTCTAACATTGATCGATTCATGATTTCAATGAGAAAAATAATAATCAAATGTGAATAGTATCCGAAGTATCAGATAAAACTATTGCTTTGTTTATTGATTTACAAAAGATTAGAAAAAAAGTCATCGCATTTTACTGAAAACACATAGCATAAAATGTGATTTGATCTTTTTTTGAATAGACAAACATTTACAACGTATAAAAAACAATCTGCTTGTCTAAATCATAAAAAAACGATTTATCATATTATTTAGTCAAATAACATATTCAAAGCTGTACCATACCTTTATATGAATTCTATATATAGTTTATAGTTGTTACCTTTAATAATAATTTTATGATAATTTTGATGAACTTTATGTATATAACAAACTTTACGACTTAAAATCAATAATCAATATATAACTATACAACAAATAATTACTTTCTTATATATGCAACATTTAAAATTATTTACATAATTATATTATTATTATTATTATTTTAATGACAAAAAATAAAGTTGAAGACATATTTCATGAAAAGTACAATTTATATTTCTAAAATATAAACAATTATTCAACTATTGAGAGAGAAAGCTAAAAAAGAAAGTTTCATTTCACATCTACCAATGAGATTATCACATTCATAAAATAAACATTCGGTAAAAAGTTTGTTTGTTTAGTGGACCAAAGGAAATAATTAATAAATTAGGCAAGGAGTTTGCCTCTTTCAACATTCAGTCGACATATGAAACTATGTGTAAAACTTTTTGAATGGAATATCGGCTTGTAAAGATTGTTTAGTCTGAAATAAGTTGCCAATTACGAATTGAAATTAGCTGAAAACTATTGATTATCACAGAGTAAAATTGTCAACTGTCTTAATAATAGAATCCAGATTGCATGTTTCCTCTCATTTAGGATTATTCAGATGATATCACTTGTGTCCAATTGTTGATGTTTACTCTGAGACTCTAACCCAATAATGCCTATTACTTCAAACTCTCAATGAGTTGTCTACTTAGATAATGAGTCAAGTTAGTTATTGGATTGTGCAAAGTAGGCGAATTTTATTATCTATTTGTAAGTGTTTTGAATCTCTTTGTTGTTAATGTTATAGACTGAAACTGGTCAGTTTTTTTTTGACATATTTGCATTCTGAGCAAACTACGTCAATATTCCAATTAAGTTACAATGATTTTTAAGCAAACTTTGAGACTAGCTGTCATTGGAACCCAGTATGTTCGTCTCATGATGTTTGAGACTTGTAAGATGGAGTTACTTTTTTTAATCTGGTTTGTAATTTCGAAGTTATGTGTGAGTTCAACTATACACTTTTTGACTCATTAGTTTAAAAATTGGGTTTTGAGTTGAATCCCACGTAAAGTGTTGAGTTTGCACTGCTTTGTAGCTGCAATCCTGAACGAAGCTTAAATTCAGTTCTCTATAGCACTTACTGACTTTGGATGTAAGGTGGTGTAAATTAGTCATATTTTGTGAGTTAAATATAACAGATATACACCCAAATGAGCGAATCATACCATACAGACCAAACAATTTAACTTGAATTCAATTTAAAAATTTTTGAATTAGCCCGCTGTTGATATTTTCCAACTGAAATTTGATCAGTTTTGATTAGCGAGTGAGCGTCCTATGCAGACACTTTTATAAAGCAATTATGACAAAAGTTTATATATAGTAGATAAAGTGTGTCTAGCAGTAGAATCCAAGATGTGTATTTTATTCTGTTTGCGACTTCACAGTTAAATGTACCTGTACTACAGATATGATGTTCATTCTGGGACTAGAAACCAACAACATTTACCCCAAATACCACTATGTTATCCATTTAGCTATTGAATCCAAATTGCCATTCACTTGTACAATGGGTCTGAGATTTAATGTCAATTAGAAATTACATCACCTCATATACATTTGAGTTTTTTTGCGTTTAATTTATTAAGATATTTAACTGACAGAGTTATTAGTATGGTAACAACTTATCTGTAACTATTATGCTTTCATTAGTGTTATGTTTGTATGAGCATTTAGGCTTGAGCATTACTTACTGCCTACACACATTCATTTTACTCGCTTTAATGTTAGCGGCTTAAATAGTTCGACTACTCATTCATTTTCTAATGTATATATATATACATTTCAATCCTATTCACTTTCTCACTCGCTCACTTGCTCATCGGTACTCGCACATAATTTTCACTTCGTGAGCCTGTGGTTTTGTGACCTGTGTGTGGTGCGATAATAAGCGTAATCAACGCTTTGTATTCGTCTTCTGATTTATACACCCTTTGAGCGTTAACTAGTAACGATTATCAGGGCGAGAAGTATACGAAGTTTAAGAATTATATTGAATACCAACCGCCACAGAATTGTTGAGCATACATCCACCAAAAAATGATTTAGATTATCTTGTTGTTGATAGTTCCGACTGTTACTCCACCACTTTTAGTTGGTATGTGGACATGACTGAGTGGCTATCTTAACTCAGTAGCCAAATGGATAACATGGTGACATTTGAAGCAGATAGTGTTAGTTTCTATTTCCAGAATGAACATCATCTCTGAAACACAGGTGCATCCATCTGAAAAATTGCAAACGGGACGAAATACCACATCCCATCTATTCTATGTCAATTTAACTTTAATGTGTTACATCTTATGAATTTCAATCCTTTATACTAGAACAGTTCAGTAATTCCCTACTAATTATTATCGAAAGCTTTGAAGAAACTATTTAATATTAAAGATTTATTGATTTTAATTATGAGAACCGATTACTCTTTTTAATTCACTAAATAAAATGAATATGACTTACAAATTTTGTAATACTATTGTCATACATAAATCGTGTAAATATACAGCTGACTGATTCTTCTCTATGCTCCAATTTATAAAAATATCAAAATAAGAATTCACTATTGGTCATATGAAAACTATGTAACTAAATCATAACTTATCTCAACCGTAAAAAGATGCTTTTAATTTTAAACAAATGACTGATAATCAATTACTTCATATATGTTCAATCTCGTCACTACTTTCTACTACTTTTTTTTTAAATTTTAGGCATGGTCTAGGTGTAGCTGTTTTGGAAGGTGTTGTCTATGCAGTTGGTGGACATGATGGATGGTCTTATTTAAATACTGTGGAACGATGGAATGGTAAAGCTAAAGCTTGGTCACCTGTAACTCCAATGGCTGTACAACGTAGCACAGTTGGTGTTGCTGTTTTAGAAGGATTGTAAGTGATTTAGTCAGTCGATTTTTAAATAAATGATATATAATTATTTATTTACTGAAATAGGCAAAGTTGAGAAGCCTTTTTAATGTTATAACTATAATTTCAACATAATTTACAAGTAGAATTAATCCATTTCACGCCATTGCACTATCCACTTACCTGTTTAAACTCACTAGCTAAGTGGATAACATGATGGCATTTGAAGCGAATGGTAGTGATTTCGAATTCCAGAGTTTTGATCATCTCTTTGATGTAGCTGGTGAGTCACGAGTAGGATGAGACACATGTCTTGGATATGTCTTCTAGTCACCATCTATCTCTGCTTATAAACTATCAGTCTACATTATTCAAAATTTAAGAAGTTTACTACTATGTCTCAGAAAGAAATGAAACAGATCGATCATGTAATGACGTCTGATATGAACTAGCTAAATGATTACTGGATGAGGTGAATTAAATTAATTTTAATAGTTAAATAAAACTGACCACCGTATAATAAATACCATAGTGAAATGATGAATATAAATTCTCTTTCTTGAAAGATATTTACAACTTATACATCATTATACAATTACAGTATAGCTGAAGCTATCGAAATTTACTCGAATGAAATGATTGCTTGATTATTCTTTAAGCATGGTATTGACATCCACAAAGTTTTTTATTGATGTCACCTTTAATAAAATCATCAAAAATAGTTTCGCCAAGAAGTGCAGATGTTGGAATTTAATGAAACTGCGACCAATTCTAACTATTTTTTTTCTCGTCATGTTTCTTTTATTAAAATCTTAATGATGAATTACTACTGATTACAGTAGTCCAATTAAACTTACAGAAATTATTGTTTCGTTAGTTTTTAATAACTTGTCCAGATGACAACGTTGATTCCTATCGAATCACCAATTCAATATTCCATTAGTCGAATGAAACCTTTATGATACACATTTGGCATCCGATGGTTTGTATTTACAACTTTAATCCACTCTTAGTATTGCTCAACCATCTTCAAATGTCGTTTGTTGGTGACTGCCATGCACTCGACATGATGTGAACTCCACTGGTCATGATTTCTTACTAGAACTTCGTAATTATCTTGAATTAAGGTTATTTTGTTAAAGAAACTATGCAGTTCAACACTTTCTACATACATCTTGCGCTAACAATAATAATAATAATAATCATGATTATAGAATCCACAGTGGATTCTGATTTCGCAAAAAACAGTTCTAGAAGTTTAGATACGCGCCTTGCCCAGTTAATCTAAAAAGAAAGCAATTTATCTGGGTAAGTAACGGTTCTATCATTAATGAAAAAATACAGGTAATTATCTAAAAAATACTACACTATTTTCCGTCAAAAATAACACAATGTATTTCCAATTCTGGAAGAGTGCTTCCGTTACAATCCAAATTGCACCCTTCCAATTCAGATGCACATTTTACCCGCCAGAGCATTCAATCCGATATGGCTGTAGCCATAATGAAGTATCAATTTAAACACCAAAATACAGTTCAGGAGGAAACATAGAAACTCCAATATAGGTACAAAAAATAGAAACTATAACAAAATACAAATATTAACACATTTGAAATCATCAATCAATCATTGTTAGACCACCATTAGAAACCTGGAAGCACTGGACGGCCGTTTCGTCCTGGTATGGGACTCATCAGCAGTGCGCATCCAGTGCTTCCAGGTTTCTAATGGTGGTCTAACAATGATTGATTGATGATTTCAAATGTGTAAAAAACGCAAACCTCCAAAACTGTGCCCCAAAACAAATATTAACATCACAAAATGGGATTAAACAGAGTACCAAAATGTAGCACAGAAATAGTTAGTAAGAACATATTACAAATATGTACATGGAGGGATTTTCCCAAAAACAAAGCCTTCAAAATGGATTCTACAATAATCATGTTCTCACTAGTAGTTAATTTTGACAGCTGCTCCTGTGAAATTCTTGTAAGAAAAATATAAATCACTTCGTTCTTAGCTTTGTAAGCATTGTTATATGCTCAATTTTCCCATGTAATCGAATTTAAGTATAATATGTAAAGTTTACTAGTTTTATGTCTTGATAATATTTGATTTCCTGGTAAAATCTATTGATATTTATTTTTTTTCAAGCCAGAACACCGTTAGATACCGGCTCAGTGGTCCGACGGTTAGGCGTTCGCGCACAATACCGAAGGTCCTGGGTTCGAATCCTGCCAGGTGCAGGAGTCGTGGATGCGCACTGCTGAGGAGTCCCATACCAGGACGAAACGGCCGTCTTTCAGTGCTTCCAGGTTTCTAATGGTGATCTAACATTGATCGATTCATGGTTTCAAAAAAAAATTATGAAATTATTATAAAGTTTTTTTTTCTGACTTAATATTATTTTTTATTATATAAATACAAATATAATTATATTAAACAATTATTCACAGTCCGAAAATTGCTAAATACTTGTTTTATTGTTTATTAAATTAGACATTTTGTTAGGTTTCACAGTGTGCACACAGTGCTGACATTCACCATCAAATAACTCGACCATCTACTATGAGTTAATATTTTAATTGTGAATTCGTTTTTATGAAGTCTTTTTATAATCTACTACTATTAATCAAAACAATAATAATCATAATTTTATACTAACTTAACTTTTCTTTACGTATTATTATTTTTATTATTATTATTATTATTATCATTAATCATAGTTTTAGACAAACCATTTCAAGCTAATAATAATAATAAAAACATACTAAATAGTATTATAAAATATAAAAACCAATCAAATAAGTCAAATGTAATAGAAAATGTTTGATCTATAAAAATAATTTACTGTTCTTTGTATTCTGTTAGTTTAGCATTCGATCTGACTGTTCATGTAACATAGAAATTGACGGGGAAAAAATGTTTCCGTAACCAATGAATCGTTTTTATCTGCCTTCATTCCATTAAACCATCACAGGGGCAGGAGCGTTTGTCTATAATTGAATATTGAATTTCTCTCCTCAATAAAGATGAAATAGGATTTGAATTAATGTTTTTTTTGTTGTTGTTGCTTTACATAGTTATTCTTGAATGATGATTTATCACGATTAGCTTAATGAAAAAAAACGTATGTTTCCTTTTGTTTATCTGTCTGCTGAATATCATGTGTTTTGTGGTAATTCAACTGGTCATTATTTTTCTTTAAAAAACTTCTGTATTGAAATCATGTTACGAATGTCCAACCACCGACTACCTCGACAAGCTATGTTTTGTGGGGTAGGAGTAGGTTGGAAGAAATCTAGGGGCGGATATACGAAAACATGGCATAAATTCATGAAATCACTGACAAGTGGTGGACTGAGTCATGTTAATATTTGTAAGCTGTCTGGTTGGGGTCCGCGAGACGTAAGTAACCGATAGTTAGAGGCTTTGGATGACATGGCTGGAAATCGTTTGCAATGGCGCAGGTCCGTTCATTATGTTTGTTCTCTCGAATTTTAATCTTCTGAATTCCTTATCGCCTCTATCTTTCTCTTTCTAAATTTATCTCACTGAGTTATACTTGTTGAATAATATCTTCGAACCCTAATCTTCTCCATTACTGCTAACACTCCTACTATCTCTACCACTATGAGATTTGAATTGACAATTGCATCTCTATGCTAACATGGTGTGGCAACCTGAAGTGATGTACTTACGTATGAATTTCTACGTTGTAACTCACTGATTGATTGAAATCATGAATCGATCAATGTTAGATCACCATTAGAAAGCTCGAAGCACAGGAAGGCTATCTTGCCTTAGTATGGGACTCATCACCAGTAGGCATCCACGATCGCCGTGCATGAGAATCAAACCTAGGATCTTTGGTCTCGCGCGCGAACGTTTAACCTCTAGACCACTGAGCCGGCTAGCATCAAATGGTGTTAATGTCCAACTCTGATCTATGTAAGCTGTGACCAGTGGAGTTCAATCCTGTCAAGTGTAGGCAGTAGCTACTGAAGACAGTAAGTGAAATTACGCAAAACCCTAGTTCTATCAAAAGTAGACGTTGACACCGTTGGATGCCGGCCAGCTAAGTGGTCTAGACGTTAAGCATTCGTGGACGAGATCAAAGGTCCTGGGTTTGGTTTCAGCGAGCGACGGTCATGCATGTGCACTGCTGAAGAGTTCCATGTTAATGGTGGTCTAACATTGATGGATTCGTGGTTTTAGTAGTCTGTTATTTAGAAGAAAATGAAATACTCAGCTATTTTAAAAAAGTGTAATTCTGCTCTAAACGTTGAATCCTATCGATCTCAATCGAGAAGTAAGTGTCTTTAAATGGGATTAATAAAACTCTGTTTACCAAATTTTTAACTGATGTATAAATCACCTGAAATTTAATTTCATTTTAACTCACTGACAGATTATATGCTGTTGGTGGTCGCGATGGAAGCGCTTGTCTACGGACAGTTGAGAGATTCAATCCACATACACAACACTGGTGTTTTATTGCCCCTATGTTACATCGTCGTGGTGGAGTTGGAGTAGGAGCTATTGGTGGACGCTTGTATGCAGTTGGCGGTCATAATGCTCCGCCAAATCAGCCTCATGCATTACGAACAGCTAGTGTTGAAATGTATGAACCACGTACTGATATGTGGACGGAAGTGTGTGCCTTATCATCTCCAAGAGATTCGATTGCTGTGGCTCCACTCGGTTACAAACTCTATGCTTTAGGTGGACATGATGGACAAGCTTATACAGATCGTGTGGAAGTATATGATCCAGAAGAGAACAAATGGACGGAAGTAAGACATCATTTGCAAACTATTTATTTTGTGTATAGAATAAACTAACCAATTGTTTTAGTGGAAACGAAAACAAAGTTCACAGACATAAGTTACATTCACAGCCTGTAATAAACTTGAATGATAAATATAGATTGTATCATTATGAGATCACAGTTACTTTTTAAATTAAAAATCATTTCAGTGTTTTGTAAGTTGACATTATTACCAAAATATAATTATTTTCAGTTCATTGTTAATACGAAATAAGTAAATATATTTACAAGAAGCTTTAGAATATGCCAAGGAATCTTCATTATTTCCCAGTTTTCATTCACTGTTATGCTTCTGTTTATCTACGTTGAGAATCATCCTTGAGTACAGATTCTTGAATATAAAATTAATTTTAGTTGCTGAATATAGCTTAGATTAGGAACGAGTGTTAGAATAATTACTGATAGGTAATCCAATTCATTTATAATGGTTAAAACTCGGGGTATTACGTGACTGTCTTTCAGTTCCATTAGTAGGTAACTTACCTTACAGCCCATATGGATGTTCTCCATTGGTTGCGACAGTAATAAACCATCAGTTACCTTCTCAGTAGTGGTCCAATGGTTAAGCACTTATTGTGAATTCTAGAGTTCCTGGATTCGGCCCCGTAGGGGTGATGAATTCACACTGGCTTGAAGCCCCAAACTAGTGCTTCCTAGTTTTAACTGTTTCCCTGGGGTCAGTTTGTGATATAAATCACTTCTGTTTAAGTAGTTAATTATGTTAATCAAATTTGAAATTTTATCAAACATCTGACGCTTATCAATTTTTAATTTATTTCCTCTAATATTTTCATTCATATCAGTCATAATAACTTTATCCCTTAAATTACTTTAGATTCAAGAGATTCTAATGAGATTAATTATTTCTCATTCCAGTTCTTAGTTTCTTTTTATGATTTCAGAATGAAATTTACCGTACAAATTTTGATGTAAACATTGTGTTATATTTTTTCAATGACTATTTAATGCAACTGATACGTTTATTTAAGCTAATCCATAAAACGAATATTGATTACTAATTATTATCAAGTATATTAGTGAAAACTGTCTGCTAAATTAATTAAATCCTACTCATAACATCATATGGTTGAAACTATTACGAGTTTCCCTTACTCGGTAAACGGGACGAAGATCAGCGATTCAGTGACACGATGGGCTATTCTAATCCGATTGTCTCAGGCTCTGCTAATTGGGGGAAGAGGTCTTGATTAGGAGTAGAGAATGTATTCTACAGGCACCCAGAAAATACGAGGTTAAGGTTGCTAAGCATTCAACACCAGCTTATTTATACAATGATAGAAACGCCCTTGGGAGAGCCACAAAATTTCGTACTAAAAAAATCCGTCAACCAATGACAGTCAAGGATTTCCGAGTGTGGAATGTAAGCTATTGGTCAACTAAGCGTCTCTTGGCGCGGAAACATAAAAGTTCAGAATTTCAGAAATAAATTACAAAATTAAGACCTTTCCAAGTGAGTTCTGGGGATCTACCATCCCCAACATAACATAGTTAAATTTATCATCACCTAATATGAGTTGGTAACTTAAACAAGGTTTGATTTTACTAGAAGACTTATGCATACTTATTAAATATGCCAGAACAATTATGAATATTTGATATAAGTAATTCTCTGACAGATTACCTTGATGCATTCACCATTTCAAATATTTCATTTAGTCAAACATATCAACTGATGACCGTATTAACTAGTATTTGAGTTCAGTTATGCTTCACTAGTAAACAAAATGTTAAGACAAGTTAGTGAAACAAATTGCTCATTGAAATTATCATTTAATGATTAGGTAATAAGAATTAATTCTTTAGAACAAAAAGTAGTGTATACAGTTTTAACCTATTTAATTTTAAAATTACTAGATAGAGTTGATTGCTACTAGTTAAACTATATCAATACACAGAGGTATACTATCCAAAATGTGTTTTTCATTGTATTTCAATTGATTTTTTCTCTTCAGGTAGCTCCACTGCCAAGTGGACGAGCAGGAATCGCTGTAGCAGCTAGTGGATCAGGTGTGACTGATCCGAATTTCAGCATGAAATTATCCTCCTATCATAAAATAGATCCACTTATTTAATCAATTAAGACCACATCTTTAATAGAAAACCTAATGAAACACAATTCGGTTAAACAAAACACCGAAATATTTAAAATGTTTGTATATTTTAATCATTCGTTTCATTCAATTTAATTGACTCATTTAACTGCTGATTTTTTTTAAAAAAAGTAATAAAAACCAGAATATCATTGTCGAATAAACCAATAAATTGATTTAAAAATGATTGTCTTGTTAATGTCAGAAAATAAATTGAAAAAATTCTTCATAAAATGCTTTGGTTTTTTCTCCTACAGAATATATTTGATATTGAATATGAAATTAACACGGTAGACTGTGAATAAATAAAAGAATTATGGAATTAAGAAAATATTTTAAAAGTCTGTGTTTAAAGATATTCTAGTAAAGTTTATAAATAGAGATTATTTCTCACATTGATTTATCATAGTAAGTCTACACAGTTTGCCACAATTAATCACAACTATTTGTATTTGAAATATCACTAACAGAATTGAATAGAGCTCCTAAACAAATCAGACAACTGTTTTATTTGATAAGGACTAAATGGATTGTTATGCTTGACAGTTGATATGCTTGAAACAATTACGAGTTCACCTTAGTTGGTAAACGAGAGCTGAAACAAGTGATCCAGTGACACGATAGACTACTCTAATACAAGCGTTCCAAAGTCCCACTAACAAAATCAGTAGCGTAGAAATTGTATTCTACAATCACCCAGAAAATCGAATTCCACAAGCACACAAATTGAGTTTATTTATACATCATAGAAACGCCCTTGAGAGAGCCTCGAAAACAGGATACTAAAATAATACATCAGCCAATGACAGTCAAAGATTTTCCGGGTGGGAAATGCAATCTCAGGGTTGACTAGTCAGCCCATGGGCTAAAAAATAAAATCCGAAATTAGAATCTTTATCAAGAGAGTTCTAGGGCTCTAACGTCCCCAATATCGATGCACTTTGGTGAATCAAACATTTCTGTGATTGATTCTCAAAATTTACCAATCTCTAGTATATCTTTTGAATAACGATTGATGTAATAGTCTGTGGTGCGCCAAATAAACATATTCAACACTTTGTATTTTTCTTTTGCTCTATTAACCGTGAGGTGTTGTTTAGTAAAGGTTGTCGGAACGAGTATCATACGAAGTCTCAGAACATGTCGAATACTGACTGCCACGAAACTAGTCAGGCTTCGGCCACCATTTAATTTCTTTAATAGACTCTTATCTATAAATTAATTAGAAGATATGACTGTACAACTTGAGTATATGACAATATCGAAAAGAAAAGTTTCTTCTTCTGAACTACTTTAATTCTTCTTCAATTGTCAATGACTCCAAATGAAAAAGTACATAACTAAGTTCAGTCCTTTCTATAGTCCAATTACAATAAATTAACATTGGATTATGACAAATTTTTTTTTGTTTAAAAATTTCGTTACTGTCATGTTATCATTTCACGAATATCATTTACATGGCATGATATTTAACTTATGTCGTATTTTCAGTAATTTAATGCGAAAGCATAATTTATCTGATCTCATTACAGAGTGGAAATCTATTTTTGTTCGTAAGTCGAAATGTATAATGAGATTTGACATTGAAAACTAAAATATTTTAGAAAGATACCATTTTCATAAATATTTCCCATCAGTTAGTCTAAATATTCATGACATCAAAAGTTTAGAAGAAGAAGAATAATCATGCAGTGAATAAGGTTATTTTTAAAATTTAACATGCTTACTTATGCTACATTCATCATTATTTCTTATCAACAACATCATTTTCCCACCTAAAAAAGAAGAAAACTTTTCGTTTGGGTGTTCGAATTATTGATTCGATTAAAAATTTTACTGTGATTGTTTGTGTTTAACATTATCTGATTGTCACTATTTTATCCCAAGTTTTGGATCAGAAGATTGATTTAACGTCATTTACATTTTTTAGATTGTAGAAATGTCGCTGAAGTTTCATCCTGTTAGTTATTGATTTCCAAAAATATTTGAATTCGGTGCCGTAACTATAAATCATGTTTCTTAAACCATAACATAGAAACATTCATTTGGCACAACTTTAAACTGTCTACTGGAAAGAACTTCCATTTTTTACACTCTCCTACTACAAGCATGAATTTCTAAATATTGACTGAACAGTTCTTGCATATTCCATTGCATATAAAACCAAAAACCCGTTGGTTTAAAGTTTAAAATCGATAACACAACACAATTGCTAACGCTTTTAAAACAGTAAGCATAGAAATAACTGATATCAACGATAGTGATGAAAGTTCTTCACCAAATTAGTAAACTTCATACTGAAACCTATACTGAACAATATTTATTATTCGAACGAACTTGGCTAGGTCAAATTGTAGAATTAAGTTCAAAGCTTTCAAGGCCTACATGTTTATCATGAGGCTCATAGATTCAAAGTTCAAATACATGAAAATAATTGCTTGAGGTGAAAGAGAGAATAATAAGTGCTCACGATAAGGATTTTCTACATTGTGTAGTCTTTGAGTTGAATAATTTGCTTGTAATGTTTTCATTGTGTTTCTGAACGACATCAGTAGCACTTGCTTCCAGGGGATATGGGCCATTGGAATTTCTTTACAGTAGACTGATTGTTTGCTCCGTCGACCTGAAATTTGGTTGGCTATGATCAATAACTTTGTGGTGCTCGTTTGTCTTGGTTGTCTTACTTTCTGATCAAGACTTTGGGCTTGCACTTATCAATAATTTTTCTTATTTACTAATAGATTTGGTCAACCCTAATGTTTCAAATAACTGATGCTTGTTAGGAATCCCAGGCCTCTAAATATTCTCTGACATTCTTTGTGTTTCCTCTATCCACACTATTTAAACCTTTTCCCAGTCGAACACATATCTGCATGCATGAATATAATTGAAGCTATATCTAGCCATTTAACAAATAATCGGAGTCTGTGCGGACCCAGATATAGAGTGGTCATCTTGTTATATATACAATATTTGTTGGAGTTGTGGCTATGTATCTTTTAAATGTTGTTTAGCATATCTTTACTTCTTGTTATGGCCTTTAATTTGCGAAATACTGTTTGCAACGATTTGTCAGCTTGTGAACTACACTTGTTCCTGGTGGTTTAGTGATCTGTTCGTTATTTCGCGGATGTTCTTCATGTTGGGTGAAACTACAGAATTGTTAATTTTTGTCGTTGATTTTTTATCGAATCGATTATTTGATAAGAATTTCTTGATTGAATTTTATGGGTAGCCATTTCTCAAAATACTTTCATTAGCTGTTTTCCTCATTTTCCCACTTGATAACAATTAGAAACAGTGTGGGAAAACTGGTGACTCAGGTATATCATAAACTAACCGATACCTACCTACAAAACAAGCTGTATATAAACGCTATTCAGAATAATAAAGCCATGTAAAAACAGTTCTGTTATGCAGATAACTGGAAGAAAGATAATTAAGTTGTTTATTATGAGTGATTGTTAATTCTTACATTTATTACCTTTATTCTAATCTGCTTTGAAGGATATTTAAACGACCATCCAAAATTTCATAAAACACATTTTACTACTCACAAGTAGTTACAGTGAATTACAGTAATAATCTAAATTAGATGTTAGTGCTTAAACCTTGTAATCCAGGCATTTTTGCATAATATAATTAATAAATAGAATTCAACTTATGTTTTTTCTAAACCCACTCATTGCCACAAATTAACCTTATAGCTACTTCACTATGAACTAAGGAGCACCATAAAACTGTTTCATTAGTGCCAATAGAAATGAATTCTTTTCAAGCTTTTCTAAAAGAATTTTCCTATCTGTGACTAATGGGAGCGGCAGATACTTAAACAGCTGTATATTCATGTATACGACCATCAGGCCGGTGAGTCTAATGTTTTTTTCGGCCGATTGGTCAATGATGTGAAGCAAATATAGAATTATTCATTTCGTCACTTGTCATCTTTTATAAGATCTGTAGAGACATCGGATGTATAATCTTAAGAATGATTTTCAGTCAATAAAATACCTAGATTGTTAAAGTAAAAAGTTATTTATAAATTCCAATCGATCATTAATCTATATAGGCACCTTTTAAGGTTAAAAACCCTCCCCCTATAAACATCTACTTTAAACTAATTGTTTTCACTGATTAGTATATGACATAATAGTTTAATTATCGTTTCAAAGCATAAATAAACTTCATATTGTCAATTCGTATTGGATACTGTTTAGCAGCAGTAAAATCTAGAATACGTTTTAGATCTGAATGAATACTCATCAGTACAATATTGTTTGCTTACAAGTGTTGAACTTTTTACAGGCAGTGTGAAGTCATGCAGCCTATCTACTAATACATTTGTACATATCAGCAATTGAAAACTATAAATCCTTTCAAATAAGGGATGTGATTTACATGATAGATTGATATTAAGTACATGACTATTAGAAATTAAGAAACACTAAACAGTCATTTCATCCTGATAATAGGACTTCTCAGCAATGTGACTTACGACTACCGGGTCTCGTGGCAAGTGCCTAGCTTTTAGACTATTAAGCAAATCTACAATGTTTCCCGTGTCTAATATTAATCAATCCGATATAAGTAAGAAAATATTAAGTTGATAATTAGTTTGTTTTTCTTTTTTAACTGACTAGAGTGATAATTGAATATACATAATCATAGGGATCTTGTGATTGTCCTTAGAGAGATAGAGTTTTTCAAACTTTAATCCAAATATAAAAGCAACTCAGTTTTATTTCTTAACACAGTTTCTGACATTTTTCAACATGAATAATCATTTCATTAATAAATAAACAAAATCTTAACTAGATACTTTAATAACAATGATGTGTATTCAAGTCGTACATTATATATAATTATTGTATAGAAGTTTTTTTCAAACTTCAAGAGATTTCAATTCTCACCTCTATTTAAAATTGAACAAATACGAGTAATCAATAGAGTGTTTAATTTTTTTTTGTAAATTTTAGGAGACCATTGAATAGAAAAGAATGTTAGCATTCTTTATTTATCTATCTACTTACAATCTGTCTGTCACAGTATGTCGAATATTTTCTTTACACTCATTTGTATACGTCTAGTTAGTGTATGGTATTCGGTTACTTTATTATGAGTTGTTATTTAATCTCTCTTTATAAGTATCGATTCAAACAC